AATATAAAATATTTTTTTATAAAAAGATAAATATTTAATTTTTTCACAAGACTCTGGAAAAGATGGATTGATACAGTAACTGGGACAATGGGGCTAGGTGTGTTGGAGTCACTGAGACTAGTTCACAGCAGGGCAGGCTTCAGAGCTATTGTCCATAGGGATACTGGGAGTCGCAGGCAACTCGACGACACATAAAAACACAACAACAGTAAAATTATTGACCAAATAACAGACTTTTCTTTATTCATAAATTTATTGTGATGATGTCTAAAATGAGACACATAGAAGTTTTCTTCTTTTGTTTAATTGACACATTTAGTTTTACCAACAGCATAGTGTCACCTTTCAGTTGTATTTATGTTTCTTTTAGTGTTCACATCTTCAAAAAGAGTTCTTCAAAACATTCAATGAAATACAAAAATTAACATACATTACTGTTCTTTTCCCTTTTATTCCTGAAGTTACCTCTTTTTCTCACACATTTTCTTTTTTCTCCATTTTCTAAACATTTAGATCAATATGCTTCTCAATTTTAAGGATGACAAAAGTGAATGTCCGTGTCCTGAAGAAATCAGAGACCAACTCTTGGACTTTCATGAAGATCTAATGGCACATTGTGGTAATGTCTTCTTAATGTATAGCTCATTAAGCATATATTTTAATGTACATATATTTATACAAAATTAAGAATATCTAGGAATGGGATCTAGAATATGTACACTATCTCTTAGGATTGCCTGTAAGAATTTATTTTGTGGAAAAAATTTTAGCTGTTTCTGCCTGGGAAACTGGAAGCCTAAGGAGATCAGAAAGGCCATGGAGAAACAGAAAGTGATGGAAATTTTTCTCTCTTTTTGCTTATTCTCAGAGAAGAAACAAGGATGAGTGCTTGGGTAGATAGGTTACTTTTGGTTTTGTAAATCAGTTTGATCACAAACAGTTAAACTGCTTTATGATGTCACTTTTTAGGACTGAATAAAGGAAACCACCATGTGTCTCTCTGATCACATCCCTATGAAAATATTGTATTGTCAGTAGCCCAAATCTATAAAAAAAATCCACACTTCTTTTAAACTGAGACCTTTTAAAATAGAATAATTAAGAGTTATGGCTTTTCTTCTTCTGTGCAGTGGTATGCATGTGACAGAGAAAATAAATCAACCATTTCTTAAATATCTCAATATTTACCTCTGTATTCTGTGTTATTTTAGTGAAGACAAAACAATACCTTGCTTATTATTTTAGTTTATGAATGCACAATCAAATGATCATTATAAAATTATAAGCTACAAGTAAAGGAAAACTCAAAGTGGTAGAGTTACTACTTCATATGTAACATATTTCTTAGGTTAAGGTAACTAACCAATTAGGCATGTTTTCTTATCAAAAGACTCTGGATAATTTTGGAGGCAAGTACAGAATAAAGTCCAGGGAGGGTTTTAGTAAGTACAGACAGAAGAGTGGGTCTTGAGAAGCAGTGCCTAATACCAAGAGATATCAATGCTCAGCAAAAGTACCAGAATTATTATTGTTACTTTTGTAGTTTGTCCTGGCTACTGATAACCATGACCCCATAGGAGCAGAAGGGAAAAAAAGGAGAAAGATTAAAAAATAAGTCCCATAAATGACTCTTTCCCCCCCCTTTTGAATAGTGATTTTACTGAAACTTTACAGAAAAGTTGAATTTTTTTATGCATTCATTGCTATACATTTTCCTCCCTCCCCCAGCTCACTTTCATTTTTTTAAAAGTATTCACTCATTGTTGCACAATTTCCTCCCTACTTCTCCCTTCCCTATCCCCCAATCCACTTTGTAAGGAACCTCTTATTCTGGACTGTTGTCATGCATATATTCCGTTTCGACAGTTCTTTCCCTCATCCATTCCAGTGCAGTATTCATTATCTATCCACTCTTTTCCCAGTTGCCCCCAACCCTCCATTGTTGGTCCTGCTTTACAACAGGGTTTTATGTGGTATTTTACCTTTTGTGGCTGAGATATTTCACTCAGCAGAGTGTCCTTCAGGATCACCCATGTTTTGTAATGTCATACAAATTTCTTGTCTTTCAGTGCTGTGTAGTATCCCATTATGTGAATATGCCATAGTTTTTCCTATACATTCATTTGGAAGCATTTGGGTTGCTTCCATCTCTTTGATATTGTGAATAATACAGCAATAAACATGGGTGTGCATACATCTGTTTGGGTATGCATACATGTGTTTGGTTTCTTTAGGGTATATACTCAATAATAGAATTGCTGGGTTAATATTTCCAGCTTTTATAAAAAGCTCCAGAGGGCCTTCCATAGTGGTCACATTCCCACCAGCAGTAAATAAGGGTTCTACTTGCTCCACAGCCTCACTATTGTTACTTGAGGAAAAGTGACTCTTATGTGTGATATTAGTAAGCAAAATCATTTAACTTGTTGTTGTTGTTGTTAAGTACCATCAAGTTTTAGACAACTTATAGTGACCCTATGTGCAAAAGACTTGAACGTTTGTATAACTTTTATCATTTCTCCAAGTTCATAGAGTTCCCAGAGACAAGTTATTTCTGAAGTGGATGTCACTCATGCTTCCAAGCTTGTTTTAATTGGGGAACTCCACCAAACACTGTCCACCATGGGTAACCATTGTCACATTTGACTTAATATTGTCAACTATTTAAGCATGACAGCAATGCAGTAAGCTTTGAGTGGGGCCTTGCTGGACCTTAAAGTGATTTCCTTAGATGTACTTTTATTGTAAAAATATTTATAACAAAACATCTTCCAGTTCAGCAATATTTAACATGTACAGCATCATCGGTTATGTTCATCACTTTGTTTTTTTTATACAGAAACATTATGCACCCAAGCAGTGACTCCTGAGTTTTTGGCCCTCCTATCCCTATTAACCATTGATAAATCTTTGTTTCTACATTTTGCCCATTTCTTATCAGTGAGACGATATATTTGTTTATGACTGACTCATTTCACTCAACATAAAGTGTTTAAGATTGATCCATGTTGTACTTGTTGGCAATTCATTTCTCTTTGTGGTAGAGTATGTAGCTACACGACTCTATATACACACTACATTTTGTTTATCCATTCATTTGTTCATGGACAGTTTGTTTTCACTTAATGATTATTCTGAAGAATGCTGCAATGAACAGTGTTTTGCAACTTTCTTTTTGTGTTCTTGTTTTTAATTCTTTCAGGAGTTTGTGTAGGATTGGGGTTACTGGATTTTATGGTTAATTTTTTTGAGGAACTGTCAAACTTTTTTCTACAGAAGCTGTATAATATTTTGCATTATCCCTAGCAACAGTTGAAGCTTCCAATTACTTCATATCCTCACCAACATCTATTATTTCTCGCCCCCCCTTTTTTATCATAGTTATGCTAGTGGGACTTAGATGGCACATCATTACTGTTTGATTTGTCTCTCTCTGATCCTATACAGACTACAGTGTAGGAAACTGTGGGGCAATTCTAATGTCCATACGGCAGGAAGCTGCTCTATGATCCTGGGGCCACCACTTACTCCATGGAAGAAGGATGGACAGTCTCCTCCTGTGTGATTTACTACCTCTGAAAACCCACCAGAGGGTCTGCTATGGGTCGATTCTGAATCGTAGTACACAGTAACAACATGAGTAAAAATAGATTCAGTAGCACATAACCCAAACTTCTAGTAACATGGGGTATATTTTCTTCTAGTTCTTAACCATTTTAAAATCTTCTATTGTAAAATGTCCATTCATGTCCTTGCTTATTTTTATATTGAATTGTTTATCTTTTTGTTTTTAAGGGTTTTTTTAGAAGGAAAAACTGTTTTACAATTTGTACATGTTAGAAATGAAAAACGGGCTCGTCCAGGATTTGAACCTGGGACCTCTCGCACCCTAAGCGAAAATCATACCCCTAGACCAACGAGCCAGCTTGTTTTTAAGTTTTAAGAGTATTTTTATTCATATTTAAACCTGTATTAAAACCAAATATATGACCCTCCCCAATTTTCTCCCCATCTGTGTTTTATATCTTTATTTTGTTGATAAAATCTTTTAATGACCAAAAGTGTTTAATTTTTCAGTGCTACTTAATCTGTTATATCTTTTGCTCCTTGGTTTTGATAGACTTGGGTGTCATACTTAAGAATACATTATTTTAAAAGAATTTTAAAAACCACCAAAAAGAATCCATTATTTAAAATTAGGTCATACATTTATATTTTCTTCTAAGAATTTTACAGATTTCCATTCACAAATGTAGATCTCTTTGAATTTTGGTTTTCTGTGGGCAGTATTAACACCTTAACAACATTTAGTCTTTCAGTGTATAAATATTGAATGTCCTACTTACATCTTGTAGTTTCGTACCATGGGGTTGGAATTCACTCGTAGTTGGACCTCCAGTGTGTTTTCAGAGGCTGTAGATCACATGGCAGGGATTGCCATCTTTCTGCCATGAAACAGCTGTTCGATTCCTATTGGTGCATGCACAACTCCTTACTACTTAGCCACCAGAGCTCTTATTTATTTTTTTTTAACTTAGGCCATATTTAATTTGTTTTTCTAATGGTTTATGGTTTATAGTTCATTCATGTTGTTACTGTTGCTGTTGTGTACCATAGAGTCAGAACTGACCTACAGCTGATCCTCTAGTGGGTTTTCAGAGGCAGTTAATCACACTGGAGAAGATTATCTGTCTTTCTCCCACAGAGCAGTTGGTGGCCTCTAGCCATGCACTTTCAGGATTGCAACACAGTTTCTTGCCACTCTGCCACCAGAGCTCCCTTATAAGTCATTCCTATTCCTCATTAAGTTTATTCCTAAGTATTTAAAATTTTTGAATGATGCTGTAAATGGAATTGTTTCCTTATTTTCCTTCTCAGCTTGCTCACTTCTGATGCATAGAAAGCCAGCTGGTTTTTGTGTGTTAACCTTGTATTCTCCTGCTTTGATTAATTGATTTATTAGCTTTCATAACTTTCTTATGGATCTCAAAACATATATTTGTGTGTGTGTATATATATAATTTTTTTCCCCCCTTTGCATTTGCTTTTTCATACTAGGAATTGAGCTGGATGAAGATGGATCTCTGATTGGAAACAACGATTTAACCATTAGAGGGCGCCTGCTGTCCCTGGTAGAAAAGGTGACATACCTGAAGAAGAAACAAGCAGAAAAACCAATTGAGAGTGACTCCAAGAAGTCCTGTAAGCGCTGTGAGGTGCCATAGGCTGAATAGCTCCAACTACTGCCATTTATCTGACATTTAAATGTATATTTTCCCATATGGTCCAGTGAAAGAATTAAATTTGCAATATCTAAACATCAGTTCTTAAGTAGATGAGTGTAGTTTCCTGAAGTACACCACAATATCAAACAAAATTTTCTAATAACAAGTTGAAGATTGGAGCAGAATCCTTATGTCAACTGAATCTAATTTTAAAGTTTAGCTAGATGTTATCTGTAACTGTATTTTGTTTCCAAAATACTTTCTTAAATGTTATGCCCTTCTGGTTCTTCCATATCCCATATAACCAGAGAGTAAAGGCTGCTACTCTGAGAAAACTCTTAAGCACACATGGGTTGGAGAGTCTGCTTCACTAGGTAGAGGCATGCTCATTCAGAAAGGTCCCAAGATATTTGTTCTGCAAAATGTTGTTTTGAGTTGCCATAGATTTTGCTAAAACTATGGCAATCCCATGTACAACAGAATAAAACCCACTTCAATCTTGCACCATTTTCCCAATCTCTCCTGCAATTAAGCCTATTGTTGCAGTCACTGTGTCAGTCTATCTTGTTGAGACTCTGCCTTTCTTTCCCCGACATTCCACTCTCCCAAGTATTGGCTCCTATTAACAATATTGTTGTGTTGTTCTTATGTGCCATTGAGTGACTTGCAACTCATAGCAACCCTCGCTACAACAGTCCTAAACCCTGCTCTATCCTGTGCCAACCTTATTGTCTATTTAAAGTATATGAAACGAAGTCTGACCATCTTTGCTGCCAAAAAGCACTCTGGCTTCAAGACAGAAGACCATAAATATATTCATTATCCTTCTCCAACACTACAATTCAAAGACATAATTCTTCTTTAGCCTCCCTTATTTATTATGCAACTTTTACATTCACTTGAAGCAATTGAAAATACCAAGACTTAGGCTTGGCTCACCTTCATCTTTAAGGTATGTCCTTGCGACTTGGCACTTTAGAGAGATCCTTGACAGCAGATTTGCTCAATGCAACATGTCATGAGCTATGACTTACTTACTTTGTAGACATCACTCACTTCAAATTGCAATTAAAGACCAGTACCCTTACAATCATTTCTTCACTTGTTCTTCATTATCACAATAATCTTCCTCAAAATGGAAGTTCAAAGTGCCTCATGAATAACATTTATTGTTATTATCAAGTATATGATCTTGACATATTAAAAATATCAAAATAGTTCTAATCATAGAAGATTGATATTTTTTAAATACCATTTTTATTTTTTACTGGCTTACTTACAAAGTTAGTATACTTTGTTTCTTACATTTTATTTCTAATTTGGTTTTGGTTAAAATTTAAAATTAGTAGTTTTATATTTTTCCCCTCAAATAATGCATAGATGCTAGATTAAGTGTTACTTTTGACATTTGGCTGGTGCAACAGTGATAGAGATTAAATATCACACTATGTACAGTTCAGTCACATTAAATCCCCTCAGCTTTTATAATTTTATTTATTATTTTAAGGGTTTTAGAAGTTTCTTTTGCATTTCAGGGTGCTGCATTATACATTACACTGGAAATGGTCCTCTGTGAATAAAATTTATTTTCACTTTCCTATCCTTTCACAGTCCAAGGGTATATGTTGTTGTTGCTGTTGTTAAGTGCCATCGAGTCTTAGATGACTCAAAGTAACTCTATGAACAAAAGACTTGAACACTGGTATAACTTTCATCATTTCTCCAAGTTCATAGGGTTTCCAGAGGCAAGCTATTTTGGAAGTGGATGCCACTCCTGTTTCCAAGCTTGTTTTATTTGGGGAGCTCCACCAAACACTGTCCACCATGAGTAACCATTATCACATTTTGACACATCACTGTCACAGTGTTTAGTATCACAGCAACCAAGAGTTACTTCTGTACAGCAAATGGACAGACCAGTGCTATACCACTTAGAAGAATATCTGACCAAATTAAATTAAAACCAGACTTGAGGGCCACTGATTAAAATCACCCACCTTTGGCTTGGTAGCATCACTTTTTAGACACTAGGTCAACTGAGCTCTCTATATGTTGTTGTTGCTAAGTGCCGTCGAGTCATAGGTGAGTCATAGTGACCCTATGAATGAAAGATCTGAACACTTGTATAACTTTCATCGTTTCTCCAGTTTCCTAGAGTGTATATATTTTAGGTTAAAAATAGAAATCTAAATTAAGTAAAAATTGTAGATAATAGTGCAAAATATTAAAGTGAGGAGACAATTAGATAAGCTTATTTTATCTGTGCAAGTCTATGACTGATGTTTCTGGGAGGGATATATGGATCTAAACTGATACTAAAATATTACATGTCATGTGACGTGCCATCTTGCAGTTATTATAGATTGCCACCAGTAGTTTTACAGAAGTGCCTGCGATTTAGAAACTGATTAAATTCTTTTGATATAGATATGGTTTTTAATAAGTTGGTTGTTTAGGGAAGAGTTGCTTATTTTTATCCTGAATTTCCTTGATTAATATGTATAAATGAAGTTGAAATGAAGTTCATTTTGTTAAAAAAATAGCCTTAACCTTATCAATTCTAGCAATAACACAGATACCAGTTTGATTGTATGGGATATGTAATAAAAATATCCAGTTGATTTGTCTTCTCTTATTCTTTTTTTTTTTTTTATGAACTTCTCATAATCACTTCACAGCCACACTTCAGCAGTTGATTTCAGAGACCATGGTCCGATGGGCTCAGGAATCTGTCATCGAGGACCCTGAGTTGGTGAGAGCCATGTTTGTGCTGCTCCATCGACAGTATGATGGCATTGGGGCCCTGGTCCGGGCACTGCCAAAGACCTACACCATAAGTGGTGTCTCTGTGGAGGATACCATCAACCTGTTGGCATCTCTTGGTCAAATTCGCTCTTTGCTAAGTGTCAGGATGGGCAAAGAAGAAGAGAAGCTTATGATTCGTGGCTTGGGGTAAATTCTTTGACAATAACAATACTTTAACATCTAAATTTCTTTTGATTATTTATCCAAAAGTAGTACAGTAAGTATATTAAGACAAATGTAGTGTCTGGATTATATTATTGGTAAATTACATTGTTGACTTCCTAAAGGGGAGTAGAACTAAGACAGTGGCTTTCAATAACAAAGTATGACTAACTTTATGACTAAATGCTAATGTAGCCAAGGTATGCAGCAGATGTCTTAGAGTTGGCTTTTTAAATCCCTTTGTGATACATAATCATAGATAAAACACAGAATAATACAAACTATGAAAATCTGTAGATGGAAAATTTCCATGAATAGAGGATAACATGGATGCTTTTTTCTCTATCTGCTGTAGCATGGGGAAAAGAGGTCACACACAGAAGAAGGGGGGGGAAAACACAGACACACACAAACCACTCTTCTGGGAATTCAGGATCATGAACCTGTGATTCATAAGCATTTGACAGTTAGAATGTCTGTCCATAGTCCGAAGATCTCCAAGCCAAGGTGCTGACAAAAATTGGTCTGAAAGAGGGATTTTTCAACTCAGGTCATGGCTCATGGTCAGAAATTGCAAATGCATTAGGAAACAACCCACCATGACCGAGTCTACGGATATCATTGGTTTCAAGTGCTGTTGAGGTGACCATGACTTATACTGACCCTGTGAACAAAGAATTAGAGTCTTGCCCTATTCTGTGCCATCTTCATCATCTCCAACATGCTCAAACCCATTGTTACAGTCACTGTGTTAGTCTGTCTCATCGAGGGTCTTCCTTTCTTATACTGACCCTCTGCATTTCCCAGCATGAAGTCTTTTTCCAGAGATTGGCCCTTCCTGTCAACATATCCAAAGTATGATTATAAGTGCATTTAATTTACATTGTAAAAAAAGGGAGCTCTCATGGCCTACTGGATAAGAAGTTGCCCTACCAAACCAAAGACACAGCATTTGAATCCATCAGCTGTTTCTCAAGAGAAAGATGGACAGTCTCTTCCAATGCAATTTCTCTGAAAACCTGCCCGATGTTGAAAGATGCTATGGGCAATATATTGAATGACCCAGAAGTAATCAAAAGAAGATGGAGGAAATACGTAGAAATACTATCATACAGTATTGAAAATAACTGACTGACACTGAAAAATTTTAGAAAGGAAGCTGCATTGAAGACATTGGCAAGAAATAAGGCCTCAGGAAATGACAGGATATAAATTGACTTGTTTCAGTTAACAGATGCAGCCCTGGATGTGCACCATTTTATGCCAGGAAGGACAGTTGTTCGGCCAAGAGATTAGAAGAGATCCATATTTGCTCCCATTCCCAAAAGAGATGACCAAAATTCTATTGAAACTATTGAACTGTCATTAATATCACATGCAAACAAAATACTGCTAAAGTTCATTCCAAAATGGCTAGAATGATATATAGATAGGGAACTCCCAGAAGTTCAAGTGGGATTTAAAAGAGGTCATGGCACCAGGAATATCATTGTTGATGTCAGATGGATCTTGGCTGAAAGTAAAGAATACTGGAAAATGTCTATTTGTGCTCTGTTGACTATGCAAAGGCATTTGATTGTGTGTATCATAACAAGTTATGGCTAAGGTTGAGAAGATTGAGAATCCCAGAGTACTTAATCATGTTCATTTGAAGCCTATATCTAGACCAAGAGGCTGTTGTGTTAACAAAGCAAGGGAACACGACATGGTTTAAAATTAAGAAGGGAGTGCATTGAGGTTGTAGTCTCTCTGCATTCAATTGTATACTGAGCAAATTATTTGAGAAGCTGCACTCTAATGTGAGAGGTGTGGTATCAAGATCAGAAGGAGACTCATTAATAACATGTTATGCAGATAACACAGCCTGCTTTCTGAAAGTGAGGAAGATTTGAAACATTTGTTGTAGAAGATCAAGGAATGTAGCCTTCAATATGGATTGCATCTCAGTGTCAAGGAAACACAGATTCTTAACCACTGGACCTATTAGCAACATTGTAATGGAAGGAGAAAAGATTGAATCTGTTAACCACTTCATCTTACTTGGATCCACAATTAATATTCTTGGTATCAGCAGTTAGGAAATCAAGAGATGTATTTCACTGGAAAGATCTGAAGTTAGAGAACTTTCCAAATTATTGAGGAGTAATGATTTCAGTTTGTGGACTAACGTATATTATCTACAGTGCTATGAAATAACAGCTCATATCTGTAGATTATATATGTGTGTGTGTGTATATATATATATATATATATCTCAATATGTTGTTGTTGTTGTAGTTGTTGTTATGTGCCATCGAGTTGCTTGCGACTCATATGACCCTATGTACGACAGCCCTAAACTCTGCTCTGTCCTAGGCCAGTCGCACTGTTTCTGATACACCCATCCTGTTTACCCCAGTAACTGAATCAATCCACCTTAAAGAGGGCGTTCCCTTCCTGCACTGTCTGTCAACCCTGTTGTCTCCAGGGACCGTTATCTCCTTACAACATATCCAAAGTATGTTAGACGAAGCCTCAGTAAGTATCCTTGCCTCCAAGGAGCCGCCCGGTTTAACCCTCTCCAGGATGAATCTGTTTATTTTCCTAGCAGTCCATGGTACATTCAGTACTCTTCTCCAGCACCCAAAGGCATCAATTCTCCTTTTATCCTCCCTAGTCATTGTCCAACTCTCTGATGCATAACAAGTAATTGCAAACACCATGGCCTGTATCAGATGCACCTTAGCCTCCAGAGAGACACCATTGTCTTCAGTACTTTGGAGAGGTCCCTAACAGCAGACTTTCCCATTGAAATACGTCTTTTAATTTCCTGGCTGCTGGTGCCGAGAGTGTTGAGTGTGGAGCCAAGCAAACTAAAGTTGTTAATAATTTCAGTCTCTTTACCATTCATCCTGATCCTGCCAGTTGGTCTAGTGGTGAGAATCTTTGTCTTCTTGACATTGGGCCTCAGTCCATATTGGAGGATGCAGCCCTTGACCCTTTGCAGCAAGCGCTTCAGGTCCTCCTCAGTTTCAACAAGGAGGGTTACACAGATTGTTGATGCATCTTCCACCAATCTTGACCCCACATTTCTTCTCATAGAGCCCAGCCTCCTGGATAATCTGTTCTGCATACAGGTTGAAAAGGTATGGAGATAGGATGCATCCCTGGCGTACACCCTTCCCATTTTTGAACCACACAGTGTTTCCTTGCTCTGTTCTGACGACTGCCTCTTTGTCCAAGTATAGGTTTCGCATTAGCACGATCAAGTGTTATGGAACTCCCATTCTTCTCAGAGTCAGCCACAGTTTGTTATGATCCACACAAATGCCTTTGTATAGTCAATGAAACACAGATATGCATTCCTCTGGTAGTCCCTGCTTTCAGCTAAGCTCCATCTAACATTAGCTACAATATCTCCTTCTAAACCCAGCCTGGACTTCCGGTAGTTCTCTGCTTATGTGCTATTCCAGTCATTTTTGGATAATCTTCAGGAGAATCTTGCTCACATGTGAAATCAATGAGATTGTTCTATAGTTTCCACACTCTGTTGGGTCACCCTTCTTTGGGATGGGAACATATATAGATCTCTTCCAGTTAGATGGCCAAGTGGTTGTTCTCCAGATTTCTTGGCACAACGTAGTGAGCACATCCAGGGCAGCATCTGTTAGCTGAAATATGTTAATTGGTATACCATCTATTCCTGGGGCTTTATCTTTTGCTATTTCCTTCAAAGCAGCCTGAACTTCTTCCTTTGTCACCATAGGCTCTTGCTTATATGTTGTTTTATGAAATTCTTCTGTGTCTGCCAATTCCTTTCAATTGAATGACTCAGTTTATTCTTTCCATCTTCTTTTAATACTTCCTGGGTCCTTTTAAAGCATTCTTGATTATAGCAACTCAAGATTTGAATGTATTCTTCAGTTCCTTGAATTTAAGAAATGCTGAGTGAGTTTGGCACTTTTGGTTTTCTGTCTCCAACTCCTTGCAGATTTCATTGTATAATTTTACTTTGTCATCTCCCGCTGCCCTTTGAAATCTTCTATTCAGCTATTTATTATCTTGAATTCTTCCTTCTGCTTTGGCCTCTCTGCACTCCAATGCCATATTCAGAGTTTCTTCTGACATCCATTTTGGTTTTTTCTTCCTTTTCTGTCTTTGCACTTAACAACAACAACAGCGGTAGAATTGGAATATTTTTCACTGTCAGCAAAGAAGAAAGAAGAGAACTCAACCTTTCCTTTGAGGCCAGAGATTCTTGCACTAGCTGAACTAAGTCACTATGGAGAACAGCAGCCATAGCAGCCATAAAGGAGAATCATGAGATAGAGCAGACCTTGAGACTGCTATGTGCCACTGAACCAGAGTGAAGAATCTTTCACCCAGTTTTGTGGGAGGACTGTGGTAGTAGAGAGAGCCACTATTGGCAGGACTGATAACTTCATAACCCTGGCCTAAAGCCGCAGGCTCAAGGCTGAGGTGCCCTGAACACACTTCAGAAGCTCTCCTATCTGTATTGCACTACTAACATAAACTATAACCTTTTGATTTGATCAGTATGGTTCTGTGTGGTCAGTGAGCTATTGCAAATATAATTATATATATATATATTCCTATCCCAAAGAATGGTGACCCAACATGCAAGCAAGATTTTACTGAAGATTATCCAAAAAAGACTGGAACAGCACATTAACAGAGAACTACCAGAAGTCCAGGCTGGGTTTAGAAGGGATCGTGGTAGTAGAGATATTGTAGCTGATGTTAGATGGATCTTGGCTGAAAACCGGGAATACCAGAGGAATGTCTATCTGTGTTTCATTGACTATGCAAAGGCATTTGACTGTGTAGATCATAACAAACTATGGCTGACTCTGACAAGAATGGGAATCCCAGAACACTTGATTGTTCTAATGCGAAACTTATACTTGGACCAGGAGGCAGTCGTCAGAACAGAGCAAGGGAACACTGCATGGTTCAAAATTGGGAAGGGTGTACGCCAGGGATGCATCCTATCTCCATACCTTTTCAACCTATATGCAGAACAGATTATCCAGGAGGCTGGGCTCTATGAGGAGAAATGTGGGGTCAAGATTGGTGGACGATTTATCAACAACCTGCGTTATGCGGATGACACTACCCTGCCTGCTGAAACTGAAGAGGACCTGAAGCGCCTGCTGCAGAGTGTCAAGGACTGCAGCCTGCAATATGGATTGAGTCTCAATGTCAAGAAGACAAAGATTCTCACCACTGGACCAAGTGGCAGCATCAGGCTGGATGGTGAAGAGATTGAGATTGTGCACAGCTTTAGTTTGCTTGACTCCATAGTCAACAGTCTTGGCACCAGCAGCCAGGAAATTAAAAGGCGCATTGCCATGGGAAAGTCTGCTGTTAGGGACCTCTCCAAAGTACTGAAGAGCAATGGTGTCTCTCTGGAGACTAAGGTGCATCTGATACAGGCTAAGGTCTTCGCAATCACTTGTTATGCATCAGAGAGTTGGACAATGACCAAGGAGGATAGAAGGAGAATTGATGCCTTTGAGCTGTGGTGCTGGAGAAGAGTATTGAGAATACCATGGACTGCTAGGAAAACAAACAGATTTGTCCTGGAAAGGGTTAAACCAGGTGGCTCCTTGGAGGCAAGGATTCTGAGACTCCATCTAACATACTTTGGACATGTTGTGAGGAGAGACCGGTCCTTAGAGAGGGACATCATGCAATGGTGGGTGGAGGGACACTGCAGGAGAGAAAGGCCCTCTATGAGGTGGATTGATTCAGTGACTGGGATAATTGGGATGGGAGTGTCAGAGACAGTGCGATTGGCACAGGACAGAGCGGAGTTTAGGGCTGTTGTACATAGGGTCACTATGAGTCGCAAGCGACTCGACGGCACGTAACAACAACAACAACAACATATACAGATGTGATTATATAGAAAGAATTGATACAGGAATTTTTATAGAGACATATTAAAATGCCTATTAATATTATTATTAAAAGGTAGAATGCGCATTTTCAGAAATGTTTTTCATATAAACATTAAACAGAAGACACATACTTAGAACTTTTTTATAATTGAAAACGAATAGTTTTAGAAAATATTTTGCATGTATACTATAAATGTTTCTGAGAGAAACAGGATTAATTACACTCACTATCTTTTGTGGCTTAACCGTGATTGCTCTTACTTTTCCAAACACAAAATTCTTTCTAAAAATAACAGAGCCTCAAGTGCATTTACATTCATTGTTCTTAACATCTGTCATTTTCTCCCATATCTGTCTTGCACTTTTAGGGATATCATGAATAATAAAGTATTTTACCAGCACCCTAACCTGATGAGGGCCCTGGGGATGCATGAGACTGTAATGGAAGTCATGGTGAATGTCCTTGGCGGTGGTGAATCTAAGGTAAAGAAGAATCTCTGACTTCTGGGATGTTATCTTAAATTAGAACCAGTGGGATGTGTAGGAATTGGGCATGTATTTGGAGATGGCTGGCATATTAGGAATCTGGAAACCAAGTGATTGGCTAGAAATTCCCCTAAGCTTACACCTTGAAGTCTATAGAATATGAAGGAAGAGTGATGTGAGAGTGAAGACAGTGTCTATTTATCTCTTAATAAAAGGTCATTTGATTGAGACTTCCTTAAGGCGGTTAGACTAGTATTTGAACAAATCCTGGGAATCATAGCTGGGTTAAAAGGGCACGTAACATTAAACATTACTGTTATTCTTTGTTATAATCTCCTGATGTACTTAAGTTATATGACCTTAACAGAGATTTTTATATCCTTGTGGGCAGACAGTTTAGTGGGTGTTTTTTTCTCTTTTGGGAAAAAAAAAATCAGATCTTTAAAAACAAGAGTTGAATGCACTACTAGATTTTCCTACATTTGAGAAAAGTTTTTATTTTGTACTGTGTGTTTTTACTCTCCTTTAGAAAATAGTAATAAACCGTGAGTTCTAATGCTATACTAAATTTCTTTTTGGTTTTGAATTGTTAGGCTGTTCTCATCACATCCCCTTTATTCAGACTGTATTTGGTTCCCCTAAGTCCCTCATCTATATCAGTATTGGTGGTTGATGTTCAGTACTCTTTTAAGACTAAAGTGTCCATAGGGTTGCTATCTGCCATACTTAACAAGAACCAACAACAGTGAGTATTTAATTGACTACAGTGTAAGATAAAGTCCTTTAAAATCAGATTTGTAGAATAATATAATGAATAATTTTGTATAAATCAGTATAATTTCATGGTCTCTGATCTACAAAATAGGCTTTGTTTTTTAAAATTAAGACATATTTTTCATAAATTGAAAATAAGTCCATATTTGCAATGTTCACTTATAAAGCTATTTGTGATACATTCTGGTAAAGACGTATTCCAGAGAGCAGAGAGCATCTGAGCTAGGTGGTAATGAGATTTAGCTCCCAAGGAGAGGTCTTGATGAGCCGGGGGTTTTCTAGTCAAGCTAAATATCTCTGAGTCCAAGAGTGTGCCAGTCAGTGAGCTTCTGAATTTCTGGAGAATCACTTCCGTAAAAATGTGAAAAGTATGATACCCCATTGTGGAGTTCCAAATACTGAACTCAGAGTAGTATAAGCTTTTATCATATTGACTATAATCAATAGTTGCCTGCTCAGGTCTGCTTAGAGCTACCTCAAAATCAAGACCTACTGATCTGTCTCTGAAAAACTTAGCCACTGAAAAGTTCTGTGGAGCTCAGTTCTGGTCTGAAATGTTTGTAGTCAGAATTAAATCAGTGGCAACTGGTGGGTTAAGTATAGAATACATATTTTTTTTAAATTGTCTTCTTGAATCCTTCCCACCACCACCACTACTGTGTTATTACAATTATACCAAATAGAAACAAAGAGATTGTATTATTTTCCAAGAAACAAAATTCAGCTCCCAAGGGACGTGTGTGATCCAGATAGGATTCACTACAGTTTGATTGCTTTTAAAACCAGACTCATATGCCACCTGTGGGTATGTATAGATTACTACTGATCCAAGCCAGTAATGGTAATAGGTTTCTAATTTAGTGCCAGACTTGATTTTCTGTAACTCATGTCTTAGCCAAGTCCCAAACTGGACATGGAAAGTCTTCCACTACCTGACCATGGGCAGACCTGGGCACCTGGATTGGCAATGTGATTGAGACCTTAACTTCTGAACTCAACTTTACTACCGATCATTTGCTAAAATAGCTAACTAAATGCTTTTTATATAGGAAATCACCTTTCCCAAGATGGTGGCCAACTGTTGCCGTTTTCTGTGTTATTTCTGTCGTATAAGTAGGCAGAATCAAAAAGCTATGTTTGATCATCTTAGTTATTTACTGGAAAACAGCAGTGTTGGTCTTGGTAAGTAAATTATACCTTTTATTTAATCTATAAAGAGTGTTCTATTGCATTACTGTAAATTCATTAAAAGCATATTGCCTTTTGATGTATTTTAAGAGAGTGTATTGTTAGATGTAATTTTTTAATTGCCTCACAAGCCAAATTTTAGTTCCTCTTTGCTTGAATTCATAGCCTCTCCAGCTATGAGGGGGTCTACACCGTTGGATGTGGCTGCAGCCTCAGTGATGGATAACAATGAACTTGCCTTAGCTTTGCGTGAGCCTGATCTGGAGAAGGTGAGCACCATTCATGCCTATGTACTTGTGTGAGATATGATTGCATGCAGTTGTTTTCAAGATTATTTGAGTATGTGGAAAAGACTATCCACTTGGCTATTGCTCTGTACTATTGAGTGATAATCACCTCATAGCTGATCTTTCAGCAGGTTTTCAGAGGCAGTGAATTGCATGGGAGGAGACTGCCCATTCTCTCATGGAGTAGATGGTGGATTTTTGCCACAGCACAATTCCTTACCACTAAGCCACCAGTGAACAATTCTACTAGCCCAAAAGTGAACAGTTCTAACCTATCCAGAGAGACCTCTGAAGATAGCCAAAGCATTTGTTTCCTAACAGTCACATGTCTGAACCTTTATGAAGTAATTCTACCTTGCACACATGAGGATGCTATGAATTGTAATTGACTTGTTGTCAGCTAAAAAGAATAAAGTTGTAAACAACAAGAATTTTGTGATAATGTCTTTCTTTTTATAACACGGAGTAATAATGGCTAGATGACCAATTTACAGAACATTTATGGTTCAATGACAGAATTTCTATCTTCCATGGGGGAGACGAGAGACTCAGTCCCAGCCAGTGTACCTCAGATACAGCCACTGCCCACCTGTCACTGGAGATTTGTATGTTGCTATGATGTTGAACAGGTTTCAGCATAGCTTCGATTAAGACAACCTAAGAAAGGCCTTTAATTGTTTTTAGTGAAACAATCTTCTAGGTTGTGTAACCCTGACCTGTCCACTTGCTGTACAGAGGTAACTCGTGGTTGCTGTGAACCTGAACACTGTAACACTGATGAGTCAAATGCGAGGATGGTTATCCATGGTGGAGTGTTTGGTGGAGCTCTCTGATTAAAACAAGCTTGGAAGCAGGAGTGGCATCCACTTCCGGAAATAACTTGCCTCTGGAAACCCTATGAACTGAGAGAAAGGATGAAAGTTATACAAGTGTCCAGGTCTTTCATTCATAGGGTCGCTATGAGTCACCTACAACTTGACGGCACATAACAACAACAAGAAGAAAGGCTTGAAGATCAACTTCCAAAAATTATTCTACAGAGACCTTACAGACCACCCTATGGTCTCATCTGAAATTGGTCATTAGAACAGGGGAGCATTTTCTTTAGATAAGCACCAGAGTCACCACGAATTCACGTGCAACAGAATCACCATGAGTTCAGGTGCAACTGAGTGCCATTATTTATCTTTAGTCTATTGCGGTTTTGTCTAATCCAGATATCTGCTGCCACCTCTTCTTAACAGTAGATTTTCAAGCTCCTAAAGATTGTTTTAACATCTGATGAACACAGCTCACTTCACATGAGGTTGTGTATTACTGTGAAACGTATCAGTAAGCTACATATGAATATATTTTTACCAGAATATTTGTCATTTCCTCCAAGTTGTAATTGCATCTCCATTCTAAATGCTTGTTGCTGTAGTTCTACTGTTTTCCTATAATCTGTATTAGTCTTCGCAACAGAGAAGACCCTATTAAAATGATGATACTAATTATCTGCTTAGAACCCTCCAAGATTTTCCCATTTCAGTAAAACGAAAAGTGTTCTAATAATTCCTTTTGCAGTGAACTTCAGAGAGCACCAGGAAACTTTGGGGTGATGGAACTGTTTTACCTGTAGATTATTACAATAATTTAATTGATATGCCAACATTTATTTTAAAATGGCTTGACTTTATTGTACATAAGTGGCACTTAATAAAGTTGATAGAAAATATATTTGACTCAATTAATTTTTTAAACATATTTTACTTGTGTAGGATATAAATGCAGCTAGAGTCAGAAAATCAAAAGGGCTGAACTCGTTCAGCATTAAGCTCAAGGAAATGAAGAACAAATTCAAATCTAGAGTTGCTATAATCAAGAATGCTTTAGGCAGAATATTAAATAATCCAGGAAGTATTAAAAGAAGATGAAAGGAATATACTGAGTCATTGTATCGAAAAGAATTGGCAGATACAGAAGAATTTAATGAAATAACATATGAACAAGAGCCTATGGTGATGAGGGAAGAAGTTCAAGCTGCTTTGAAGGAAATAGCAAAAAATAAGGCCCCAGGAATAGATGGTATACCAATTGACATATTTCAGCTAACAGATGCTGCCCTGGATGTGCTCACCAAGTTGTGCCAAGAACTCTGGAGAACAACCACTTGGCCATCTAACTGGAAGAAATCTATATTTGTCCCCATTCCAAAGAAGGGTGACCCCAACAGAGTGTGGAAAATATAGAACAATATCACTGATTTCACATGCAAGCAAGATTCTCCTGAAGATTATCCAAAAACGACTGAAACAGCACATCAACAGAGAACTGCCAGAAGTCCAGGATGGGTTTAGAAGGGGTCATGGTACTAGGGATATTGCAGCTGATGTTAGGTGGATCTTAGTTGAAAGCAGGGAATACCAGAAGAATGTCTATCTGTGTTTCATTGATTATGCAAAGGCGTTTGACTGTGTGGAACAAAACAAACTGTGGCTGACTCTGAGAAGAATGGGAGTCCCAGAACATTTAATTGTGCTAATGTGAAACCTATACTTGGACCAAGGGCAGTTGTTAGGACAGAGCAGAGTAACACCGCATGGTTCAAAATTGGAAAGGGTATATGCCAGGGATGTGTCCTATCTCCATAATTTTTCAACCTGTATGCAGAGCAAATTATCCAAGAGGCTGGGTTCTATGAGGAGAAGTGTGGCGTTAGGATTGGTGGAAGATCTATTAACAATTTGCCTTATGCAGATGACACAACCTTGCTTGCCAAAACTGAGGAGGACCTCATGCACTTGCTGCAGAGAGTCAAGGACTGCAGCCTTCAGTACGGACTGAGGCTCAGTGTCAAGAAGACGAAGAGTCTCACCACTGAACCAATTGGTAGCATCAGGATGGATGGTGAAGAGATTGAGATTGTTCACAGCTTCAGTTTGCTCAGCTCCACGGTTAACACTCTTGGCACCAGTAGCCAGGAAATAAAAAAACGTATTGCAATGGGAAAGTCTGCTGATAAGGACCTCTCTAAAGTACTCAAGAGTGACGGTGTCTCTCTGGAGACTAAGGTGCATCTGATAAAGACCATGGTCTTCACAATCACTTGTTATGCATCAGAGAGTTGGTCAGTGACTAGGGAGAATAGAAGGAGAATTGATGCCTTTGAGCTGTGGTGCTGGAGAAGAGTATTGAATGTACCATGGACTGCCAAGAGAACAAACAGATTCATCCTAGAGAGGGTTAAACCAGGCTACTCCTTGGAGGCAAGGATTCTGGGGCTTCGTCTGACATGCTTCGAACATGTTGTAAGGAGGGACAGGTCCTTGGAGAGGGACATCATGCTTGGTAGGGTGGAGGGACAGCGCAGGTGGGGAAGACCGTCTATGAGGGGAATTGATTCAGTGACTGGGGTAATCGGGATGGGTGTGTCAGAGACAATGCGATTGGCACAGTGTAGAGTATAGGGTCGCTATGAGTCGCAAATGACCCGACGGCACATAACAACAACAACAACAACAACAACAGGAGGATATAAATGAATTTGACAAATTGTTATTCTCTGTGTATATGCATTAAAGACTTCTTGAGGAGTTTCTTTTAAAAATGGAGCAAGTATGACATAGCCTAGCACCAACAATCACTTAAGACAAAGTATTCAGAAAGGTAAAGCTAAGAGAAATGCTTAATTTCTTAAATTTAGCGGTGTTGACAGCTACTATTATCTCTACATTAATAGACAGGAAATAAATCTCAAGTTCAGAAAGGGAAATTTAACTCCAAGCTTGGATTTTCTCTTTTTTTCTGTTGCATTTCCTTACCTGAATCTCTCATTCAATTGCATATCTTGACCAAAAATTGGTTCATTTTTTAAAAATATTTTTGTTTCTCAGATGATTCTTTCAATATCTCAGGTGGATTGAGGTAGTTTTTTCTTTCAGTCAAACATCACTACAGATTTTATTTTCTTTTTCGTGGTGGTTTTATTGAGATGATTTATGTATATAGAAAAAGTACATATACTATGTTTGAAAACATTATTCAGAGTATTATTCTCTCACTTCTTACATCCTAACCAAGAGCTCTCCTTTTCTCATCTCATTTTTATTTTCTATTTTAAGTAGTTAATGCAATTAGAATCATATTGCCCTTGTCTTTGTGTCAGATTTGTTACACTTAGCATGAGGTTTTCAAAATGCTATTGGAATTTAATTTCTCTTTATGTCTGAATAATATTCTTTTACCCATTCTTTTGTTAATGTGCACTTGGATTGTTTCCAACTTTTTCTAATGTGAATCATACTGCAATGATTGTCGCTGTACAAATATCTGCTTTTTACCCTTTCTTTCAGTTCTTTTGGCTTAATATGTTGTAGTATAATTGCTAGACATTAAACATTTTTAAGCTCATCAAATACTGTTTTTATAGAGAAAGATCTTAAATAATAAGAAATTCAGGACCATTCTTTCCTAGAGTTGGTTCATACATAGTTTGATTGTGATAAAACCTTTTTAAAACACTGCTGAAACTAAAGTTGTGTTAGAAGTTTATATGGATTGTTAAGAACTTAAAAAGAATGTTATCTGCTAAAATATATTTGTTCTAAAACATCCTTTGAAGATATTACTTGCTGTATCTAGTGTAAATAGCTTAAAAATTTTCTTTGAGTGGTAACCCCTTGCTTATATCTTGTTTGTAGGTAGTGCGCTATTTAGCTGGTTGTGGATTGCAGAGCTGCCAGATGCTGGTCTCCAAAGGTTACCCAGACATTGGGTGGAATCCGGTTGAGGGAGAGCGCTATCTTGACTTTCTCCGGTTTGCTGTCTTTTGCAATGGTGAGACATGATTGATTGGCTTCTTTTGTTGGTCATTGTTAAGATGGAATGATATTTGACAGATTAAATAAGGACTTATCTCAATATTTTTATCAAAAAGTGACTTTTCTGGTCAAGAAATAGAGCATTTTACAACCAGTTGTTGTTTTTATGTGCTGTTGAGTCAACCATTACTCATAATGACCTTATGAACAATAGCTCTGAACCCTGCCCTGTCCTGAGGCAATCATACTGTCTCTGACACATCTGTCTCCATTGTCTCAGTCACTGGGTCAGTCCATCTCATCCAGGGTCTTCCTTTTCTGCCGTGATCTTTCACCTTTCCAAGCATGATGTCCTTTTCCAAGGGCTTGTCCCTCTTCACAATAAGCAGTAGAGTTTTTTAATGGTGTTAATTCATTGACAGAATTTACTTTTATAGTGGTTTCATGCTTATATTACTAAGTTGGAATTTTTATGCACCTAAATTCTTTTAAATGTTTATAATTTAATTTGAATTATAAATTTATGACATTAATTCTCACAATAATGAATTTATGCCTCTTGAAGGAAAAGAAGCTTACTTATCTTGTACATGTGAAAGCAGTAATTTTTCCTAAAATTCTGGTTTTAGTACTACTACATGCTTAGGTTTAGGTTTTCAGTTTTGTATTTTTTTACAAATTTTATTTTATACTTGTTTACATACAAAGTTCATAAAGTTCATGTACGTTGTTTTTCACACTAGACCTCTCCCCTTTCCTTTACCAGTCCCTCCCTTTAAAAGATAAAAATGTATTCTAAAAAGCTTGGCTCCGAATGTCCGTGAAATCACTGTTTGTTCTCCACGTGATTTAGGGGAGAGCGTGGAAGAGAATGCAAATGTTGTGGTCAGGCTGCTCATTCGGAGGCCTGAGTGCTTCGGCCCTGCCTTGCGAGGCGAAGGTGGAAATGGTCTCCTGGCAGCCATGGAAGAAGCAATAAAAATAGCTGAGGACCCTTCCAGAGATGGCCCCTCACCCACAAGTGGATCCAGTAAAACACTGTATGTCTACTACACACCTGGAGAGATCCATGATATTGCCTGATTTGAAATTTTACAGAACACAATTCTTTTCATTGCAAAAATAACAATCAGACTATCAAATATGTGGGACTGTTCCTCTTGATAATGGAAAATCTTAGACATTTGAGAGAGGAGAGGATATTTTACTGGAATAGATTGAACAACCAAAGAGAGGACAGAGAGGTCTTTTTTTGGATTTAGGAGAGAATGATTTAGGCTAAAGGAGAAGTTTTTCTAGGAGGATATGTTAAAGTGAGTGATTACTGGCATGAAAGGTGAACCTCAGGAATTGGAGGAGAGGTAAGTGAGAAGCCCGTGCAAATTCTCAAACTTTATCAGGAGCTAAAAAATATATAGGGACTAAAACACACACACACACACACACACACACACAGGAAGAGAGGATGTTCTATACATAAAGAATAAAATGCAGGAGCAAAGGATTGATGACAAACAGTGGAGGCTGTCATCTTATGCTTTTTCTATACTACATTTTCTTAATAGGGTGTTCTTGTGGTCTAGTGAAGCTGCACTGCAATCCAAAGGTACACAGTTTGAATCTACCAGCTGTTCCTCAGGAGAAGAATAAGCAATATCCTCCTCTTGTGCAATTTATTGCCTCTGCAAACCCACTGAAGGGTGAGCTGTGGATTGATACAGACCCGACAACACACAGCAGCAGCATATCTTCTTAATATTTGATTACAGTGCAAATTCAAACATGTCCCTGGTAAACATTGAAGATTTCATTTCACTTTTTTTTGTCAGTACAGACAAAGTTTAAATACACCACTGCACAGATCCACAGGTGCAGATACAGCATAGGCTTCAATCGGAGGAACTTTCTTTCCTTTTTAATTTTTTTTGTTTTTGTTTTCGATTGTAAAAATTAGTTGAGGTAGAGAAGGTCGACTTTTCTGGGCATAGTAACTAAATGCAATGCCTGTCCTTACTGGATCAGAAGTTGGGCAAACTGCTTCTAGAGGACACTGGGGTTAGTTATTTACTTTATATACATTGGTTTTGTTATGACATTGATTTCTTATTTGTGTTCTTTTCATCATATTCTTTTCCTTGGTAGATATGAGCTGAGTCTTAGCATCATTTGAAAAATCTTTAATTTTGTTACTTGTGACTATTATAATTATGTTACAACTGAGTCTTTAGTCTGTTATTGTTACTGTGAAGATATTTTAGTTTAAAAAAACTTTTTAAAGAAAAGGATTTTTTAGTTTTTGACTGAAAAATCATTGGTTTTTCATATCATCATTCAGGAAGTTTGTTTTGTAGAATTAGTTAATGTAATGTGACTAATTAACGCTTTAGGAAGCATTGGTGGCATAATCCTTAGGGAGTTACACTGCTGACTTGAGGGTGTAGCCTTTTCTCTGGTTATTTGAACCCTCCAGTGGCTCTCTGAGATAAAGATGGTCAATCTCCATTCATTTCACAGCCTTTGAAAACTCACTGGAGGATCAGCTATTAATAGGTTCTGACCTGATGGCAAAAAAGTTTGAAATTCTATTTTCGGTGGTTTTTTTTTTCTATAATTATATTTTATTAATTTTCATAAACATTTACAGAGATTTTGGGTTTCCATTCATTCATTGTTGCACTATTCTCTCTACCCTCCTCCCAGTTTGTTCTTGTCCAAATGCCACAGTGCTTGTCAAAGCCAGTTCTGATTAATCTTCTTTGTCAGTGTGTCCTTTGCCATTCCCTATCACTCCTCCCTGAGGAGTTTTTTAATTAACAGCAAGAATGGTATCCACTTCCTAAACAACATGCCTCTGGAAACTGTGAATTTTGATAAATGATGATAGTTATAGAAGGGCTTCAGGCCTTTTGTTCATAGGGTTGGGTCACTGAGTCCTGCTCAATTCAATGACAATCAGCAACAACAATAATTAACACCTTATTGTATATGTCTTTCCTTTCACCCAACTTACCACTTACTAAATTTTTACTTCCCTTTCCTCCTTTTCCCATCTCTGTTAACCCCACAAGATTAATTCCGGGTATAAACCTAGTTTTACTTTTTAAAAATAGTTTGTTATACCATAATTTTTCTTTTAAGACTGACTTAACACTTTGACCCAATAACTCCAACAGTTAGAAAAAGAACAGCAAGCAAAGCCTGCAATTTCCAGAAGAAAATCAATAATAAAAATTAAAGCAGAAATAAATAAAACAATAGGGGAAAACCAGCATAGCTAGAAATTAGTTTTTTGAAAGGATTACGAGGATGAACAAATCCCTGGCAAATCTGCTGAAGGACAAGAAGGAGATAATACAAACAACTCAGATAAGAAATGAATATCACAAACAGAATCAACTAATATAAAAAGAATAAATTTGGAAACTGACAGGTAATGGACACATTGATAAACCTCACTAACCTACCTAAACTAGCAGAGACAGAGCTAAAATATTTGAACAGACTCATCATAAAAGAAGAAATGTAACAGGTCTTAAAAATGCTTCCAATTGAAAAAAGCCTTGACCACTTCAGTGGTGAATTCTGAACATTCTCTAAATGTTTAGTAACAATCCGAGAAGGGCTGGCACCGTTCTGATAAAGACATGAATACAAAACCAGTGTTGTTGATAAGTGGCATCAAGTCATAAACAACTCATAGTGATCCTATGAACGAAAGACCTGAACACTTGTATAACTTTCATCCTTTCTCCAGGTTCATAGAGTTTCCAGAAGCAAGCTATTTCAGAAGTGTATGCCACTCCTGCTTTTGAGCTTGTTTTAATCGGGGAGCTCCACCAAACACTGTCCACCATGGGTAACCATTATCACATTTGACACATCAGTGTCACAAAACCAATAACAAACATTATTCTTCATGGAGAAAAATTGAAAGCATTATCTTTGTGAGCAGGAAGCAGACAAGGTAGCCATTCATTTCCTCTACTATTTAATATTGTACTAAAAGTCTTATCCAGAGCAATAAGACAAGAAAAGGAAAGATCAACATACAAAATTTAGTTGAATTCCTCTATAGTAACAAAGAACTCTAAAAAGGAAATGAAGACATTTACAGTATCTACAAGAAGAAATGTTTGGGAATAAATATAACTGTAGATGCAAAAATATCTATACAAACAAACAAACAAACAAACAAAACTCTACAAAGAAATTGACAAAAACAGGACTCCCAGAGTTGTTACTGTTGCTATGTGCCATTGAGTTTGAACCAACTTATAGCTGACCGTCCAGAGGGTTTGCAAAGACTGTTAATTGCATGGAAGGAGATCGGCCATCTTTCTCCTACTGAGCAGATTTTTGATTCAAAGTCCTTGCATTTTAATTGATTGTGTAACTACTCATGCAATATTACTCAAAATGGTTGACTCTGGAGAACATTATGCTGAGTGAAATGTCCCAGTCACAAAGGGACAAATATTGCATGGTGCCTCTGTTGTAGAATGGGATTGTCCTTGGGGTTGGGGAGAGGCTGAGTAAGATGGGTTCAATAATGTAGGCTGCTCTGAAACAGAGAAGGGAGAAAACTGTTTAAAAGAGACATGTGATTAGGTATTTCGGTTATGACAGGAGTCTAGAGCGATGGTTACATGGTGGAGTGGACCTGGAGGAGGGTTTGTAAAATAATGAAAGAATCTTTTATTTTACTTTTCCAAGAGGGTAATGTCTGGTGTGGGGGGGAGCCTTGGGAGGGGACAAATCTACAATAATGAATGAATGGAAATCCAAAGCCTCTGTAAATTTTCACTGAAATTAATAACAAATTTAAATTAAAAAAAAAGAATTAAGTTAGAGTAAGGATGGCAATGGAACCACCTTACCTCTGTAACTTGATTTGTGCCACTATTAGAACCTCTATTCAGAATATTATTGCTTTTCAATTTTTGACTCATGCGCTTTTAACTTGTTAGTTAAATTTGTATCTTCTAGGCTGCAACACTTCCATGATACATCTTCAAGGATATGAACATGTATGGCTAAGCACAATTGATAAAAGTGCATCTAAATTCCAAAATCAATCTCCATAATAGTCTATGTGTTTCCTACTGCCAAAGGGGCCCTTTAGAGTAGTGAGAGAAGATCTTCACCCTGAAACCCACAGCGTCCCTTTTCAGCAGGAAGTAGCTAAGAGAATACGCCATCCCCTTTTCCTTATGAATCAGGGTGAAGTCTCTCTCAGGGAGGAGTGATAGGGAATGGCAAGGGACACACTGACAAAGGAGATTAATCAGAACTGGCTTTGACAAGCACTGTGGCAATTGGACAATTAAAACAGACATTGGTGGGGGGAAAGAAGAACGAACTGGGGATGAGGGTGGAGAAAACAGTGCAACAATGAATGAATGAAGACCCAAAATCTCTGTAAATGTTCATTAAAACTAATAAAATTTAATAAAAAAAAGAAGAAAAAACAAAACCAAAAAAAGTTGTTGCTGTTTACCATTGAGTCAGATCTGACCCAAAGCTGACCTTTCAGAGTTTTCAGAGACAGTAAATAGCACCAGAGGAAATTGCCCATCTTTCTACCATGAAGCAGCTGATGGATTTGAACCACATACCATTTGATTAGCAGTGCATTTCCTTATCACGAGGCCACCAGAACTCCCCTTGAAGCCTACATAAATGGAAAATACACCATGTACATGGATTAGAAAACCTAAATGTGTAGAATGACAATGCTGGCAAAATCTGTCTTACAATGCAGTCCCGATCCAGGGTCCATGGTTTTTCTCAAAGAAATGGAAAAAGTAATCAACACTTTTATATGTAAGGGAAAGAGACCCTGAATAAGCAGCAAAATACTATTGACTAAGTGAACAAGGTATGAGGCATTGCACTTCCTGATCTCAAAATCTACTGCACACCCACAGTAATCTATACAGCTTGACCGTGGTAGAATGACAGGTATGTAGACCAATTGATTAAAATTGAGAACATAGGAATAAAGTCATCTAATTATAGACAAACTGATATTTAACAAAACAGATGAAATCCATTAAGGGAGGAAATGGCAGGGAGGAGTGGAAGACAGACTTTTTAACAAATGATACTGGCAAAACTGGGTATCTATTTACAGAAAATTGAAACAAGATCCATATTTCACACTGGATAACAAAATAATTAATTCCAGATACATCAGGGACCTAGGTGTGAACTTAAACTTATAAAGTTCACCAAAGAAAAAGAAATGAGACAAACTTAGGAACTGTGATCATAAATGGACCATCAAATCCAACTGAAAATGCGCAATTAGCAGATTAGGACCTTCTGAAAATTAAATCCTTGTATGTATCAAAATAGTTCTCAAAAAAAGTGGAAAGAAACTATAAAGAATCAGAAGAGTGTTTTTAATGACATATCTGAAGAGATAATATCTCTAAAATTTATAGACAACTTCAATAACTCAACAAGGAAGATACTGAGTAAGAGCTGCAACTTGCATGTTCTTCAATACTGAAAAATAATACAGAATTTGTGAAATACTGCACAACATTGACAAATCTTAAGAAAATTATGCTGAGTGACATAATTTAATCACAGGAACTTAGGATATAAGATCACTATTTGCAAAAATCTAACGAAATGTTTACACACAGAATTGTTTTTGGAGAGTTACCAAAGATGGGAAGAGAGGGGAAAGAAGTAAAAATTAGTAGAGAAACTGAGGAAAGGGAAAGATAATAATATTTATCAGGCATGGTAATTTAGTTACATTAATCACTTTTCATTGTTATTAAAATATATGAATGATTGAATAGGGGAAAAGTCAGGAATGATTCATACACTATTACTCAAAAATAGTACTAACTCATCCTTTCTTTAAATGCAAGCTATTTATAAAGTTACTTAAACTTAATCCTTCCACTAATTATTTCCTGTTATTAGGCTAATTTTCACTGTAGATATATTGAATCTACTGAGTCTACTTAGAATGCAGCAAATTAGTAAGTCTTCTTCCTTTTGAAAACAGCTTTTAATTATCAGCATCCCCACAGATGTGTTCAAAATTGAATTTCAAATCTGGTCTTTAACCCATTGTGATTTTCTTTTGAATATTCTAAGTTGTAAATAAAACCATATGTGGAAAGTTTCAAAACAAAAAGAATGAGTATCTTGGTTAATCCCTTTCTTCTGAGAGATCTTAAATGTCACTTTAAATCTTGTTTGTTTTTAATTTCTTGGGAAATTTACAAAAGCGATGCAGAAGAAGAGGAAGATGACACCATCCACATGGGGAATGCAATCATGACCTTTTATGCAGCTTTGATTGACCTGTTGGGACGCTGTGCTCCTGAGATGCATGTAAGTGTCCTGAGGCCTCTGTTGAGCTGTCTGATACTACCCTTCTTAGCCTGGACAGATGAAGCCATGAAAGCTTTCAAAGCCAGAAAGCCTAAGCTCCGTTAGAAAGAAGTTCAGGCCAAATTGCTGAGCAGGCTTTTGCAAAATTGTGATTGTCTTGTTTCTTGTAAAAATTGTGATGAGATTTCAGTGCAAGCTATTAATCACATAGTTATTACCATTAAAAGGCTGTATGAGCTCATTTGTTCAGTGAGTAAAGGATTGTCTACTACCTGAAAAGTCAGCTATCTGAACTCACTTGCATGTAGGTGACATGGTCAAGTCTGTAGGTGAAATGCCTTGACATCTATAATTGGGAAAAGACAAAATTCAGTTGCTTGTCACTAAAATCCAATTGCATAGAGACAAGGCTTGAGTTTTCAAATGCCTTTATTGAGAGACTAGCATTCGGTGAGAGAATTGGAAGTGTGGGTTCCTTAGAAACTGTTTTCTGGCATATCAACATCAAGCCAGGCTTTTTAAGGGGATGGACAAAGGGAGTCATAAGGAAGAAAAGGAATGTGTGAAGGCAGGGAAGTGCCCAGAGTTGTTAGTTCCATGATCTCTCCTCCTGTGATGGTTATCACATGGCCTGTGGTTAATGTTTGAGGTAGTTATCAGACTTCTTTGCTGATGATACATCCTTCAAGTAATTTCTTAGTTTTTTCATATCAGGGTGACTTGGTGACAAATCTTTGCTTCCTGGAATAACAACATCACAGCACTCTAATCAATCACATTAATAGATTATGTAGAGTCAGACAACTTTTATTGTTGCAGCTGTTGTTATGTATTGTCGAGTCAGATACAACTCATAGAGATCCTATAAACAATAGACATGACCCCATGCTATCCTGTACCATCTTCATCATCTCTGTCACACTCGAACTCATTGACACAGTCACAGTGACTGTCTATCTCATTAGAGGTCTTTGTCTCTTTTGCGTGATGTCCTTTTCCAAGAAATAGTCTGTTCTAGCAAGTAGGAGAAACATAATTTCAAAATCCTTGCCTCCAAGAAACACTCTGGCTGCATTTCCACAAGACTTATCTGTTTGTTCTTTTAACAGTCCATAATATTTTTTATATAATCCTAAACTTGACCAACTATTTATCAACATCCTAAACTTTGGTAACTATTTATTATCATTCTTAACTAAGGCAATTATTTACTAATAATTCCAAATTGAGGCAATTATTATCAGTTCCTCTCACCATCACAATCACTTTCATAAAGATTAAACAAAAGCCCACCACTGTTGAATCAAATCTGATAGTGACCCTCCACAGTGGACTTCTGAGACTATCAGTCTTTATGGGCCATCTTTCTCCACACAGCTGCTAATGGGTTTAAACTACCCATCTTTCTGTCAGTGCAATATGGAACGTGGAAGACATTATGACCCCATGGCCCTTGCCATAAAGATAAAGATCACAGTCTAGAAAACACTATGGAACATTTCTCCTCTGCCCAATAAGGTCACTCTGTGATTGAATCGATTTAATACAAGGAACCAAATTAATATATATTCTTCCCATTCTTTAAAAAGAAGAACTTTTCAGTGTTAATCAGGCTTCTATGTTTTGGAGGTAAGTTGACATTAAAAACTAGTGAAACAATGCTCATTTTTATTTGTTATGCACTGATATTTTTACTTTTCATTTATTTGGTTTTGCCTTTAGTATATTTGTTTAAGAAATCCTAGGCAGGGCTCATACTTTGATTGTATTGCTTTTTCATGGTGAACATGTTCTTTGGAAGTGCTTTGGGCAAGATTAGGCAGAGGCATTTCTGAGCTGGTGTGAGCATGAGGCCCTTACATCTTAGATGGCCTGTCTTCCACTTTCAGTAACTAGTTTATTTTTTTTCTTCTCTCTTTGTCTGTTTTATACTTGTAGATTAAAACTCGCTTGGAACCCTCTTATGAACTGAGACTCACTGAGGAGAGGGAAGTTTTCTTAGGAAACCTCACCTCCAATTTTTGCAAAAAAACAATTTAAGTAATGAGGTGATTCTCCTAAGTGCACACAATGGAGTAAAATACCTCTTCTGCTGCAGTGACTGCAGACAACAAAAGAAGTACTTTATAATCAACTATTCTTCTTTGTCTTATTTGAGTAGAAAGGGCAGAGGGTCCAAGACAGAAATTAAGTTGTTTGGAATTATTTTGTTTATATTTAGGTGGAAATATACAACAACAAAAAGGAAAATGAATTGCTAAGGCTCAGCCTTGGTACTTGTGAAATTTATTCATTGCCAACACCTGTTAATTGTTGTTGTTAGGTGCCATTGAGTCAAGTACAACTCATAGTGACCCCATAAATAACAGATCTGAACCTGTCCTATCCTGTTCCACCCTCATACTTCCTGACACACTCAAGCCCAGTGCTGCGGTCACTTGTGTCAAGCCTCCTGGTTGAGGAGCTTCCTCTCTTTACCAGTCCCTCCACCTTTCTAATCGTGATTTCCTTCTCCAGGGAATAACTTCCTAGCAACATTCCCAAAGTACACAAGACAAAGCGGTCAATTGAGGTTCTACTATATATCCATTGAGATTAGGTGCACTAAGAGTGTATGGTGGTAGGCTATACTGTATGTCATAAATTGTGTTTTCAGCCCAAAGGCATGGGAAGCACACCTGTCATATTGCCTGGGAGTCAGTAGGTAGTCACAGAGACTCATTGAAAATTTAGATAATGTAACCCACAGCACATGATCATGTTCTGTACCATGTATCAGGGAGTTCTGGTGGCATACTGAGCAAGGAGTTGTACTTCCAACCCAAAGGCACATGGTTCACATTCACCAGCTTTGTCATGAGAGAAAGATGTCTGTCTCCTCTGCAATTTACAGCCTCAGAAATCCCACTGGAGGTTCAGCTCTGTGTTGGTTCCAACTGAGTGACACATAATAACATGTAGCAGGTGGCATGGGCCAGCAGTCATTCTGTTTAGCCAGTCACATTCTAAAAGAATTGGTAGCATTCATCTTTATCATACTCCCTATGCCCTTAAACCCATTCTTCAAAGCCATTAAGTGGAAAATAGATAATACAATTAATTTCTTATTACAATGTAAGAAAGAAGCTAAATTAATCACAAATAATATATGTTCAGTGTCCAAGATAATTGATGTCCCCCCCAACTAAGAAATTTATTTTACCGAAGGTGATTTTGGATGTATCTTTCACTTTTAAAACAAAGCTTCCTGTTATGCATAGGTATCTAGATGACATTTTGGAGAGTAAATTCTGATGGATTCTTCAAATTTTTAGAATGTTCTAAAACTTCAAAGAGGACTAAAATCATACGTTGCTCTAATCAATAAACAAACTGGCCTTGACTGTAGTATAATTCTGTTTATGCTTCAGTCATTGAAGACTATTGAGTGAATAAATATCTATGTTACTGTAAGGCTGAAACATCAGTTTCTGAAAAGGGTCTAATTTGTATGTATGCTTCTTAAACATTATTGAAGTAAAAGTCCTATGTTTAACATTTTCTAGAGGTAATATTTTGCAAAATTATCTTAGTGTCTCTGTTTTCCTATTTAGTTGATTCATGCTGGTAAGGGAGAAGCCATTAGGATCCGGTCTATTTTGAGATCCTTAATTCCACTGGGAGATTTGGTGGGCGTCATCAGCATTGCTTTTCAAATGCCCACAATAGCCAAAGGTAAGACCCGCTTTTGCTCTTTATAAGGCAGTTTTAGAGTGGGTGACATGATGGGGTTTATTTTGCTTTTATTTTTTTATTGTGATTTAGATGAAAATTTATAAAGCAAAATCATTCTCCACTCAACAATGCACACACACTGTGGCACTGATTACAATTCACAATTGTAACAGCATTCTTTTAATTTCTACCTTTCATTTTCAATTTCTTTTATTTTTTAAATTTTTTAGGTACATATCAGTCTTTTTTTAAAAAAATACTGGAACTGTTTTATTAATTTTCTTGCATTGTTGCACATTTTCTGCCCCCTCCCTTCGCCGTACCCCAGCCCTCCCTGCAGTGGACCCCGTGTTCTAGATTGTTATCATATATATAATGCCTGAATTATATATTCCTTTAGGACAGTTCTTCCCTTCATCTGTTCTAATACAGTATTCATTATCTATCTCTTTCCGCATTCTCTCCCCAACTCCTCTATGTCTGTCCTATTTTATAACAGTGGAGTTATGCAGTATTTGTCCTTTTGTGACTGATAAAGTTCACTCAGCATAATGTCCACCAGGCTTTCCCATGTTGTGTAATATTTTATAAGTTCATTGTTTTTCATTGCTGTGTAGTATTCCATTGTGTGGAAGTATCATAATTTTTCTGCCCATTCATTTGTTGATGGGCACTTTGGTTGTTTCCATCTCTTTGCTGTAGTCAATAACAGAACTTTAAACATAGCTGTGCATATATCTGTTTGAGTCGTGGCTCTGGTTTCTTTAGGGTATATTTCCAGTGGTGGAATTGCTGGGTCAAATGGTATGTATATTTCCAAATTTTTAAGAATACACCATACAGCCCTCTATAGTGGCTGTATCATTTTATACTCATATCAGCAGTGAACAAGAGTTCCAATCTCTCCACAACCTTGCCAGCACTTGTTTGCTGCTCTGTTGAACTTTGCTATTGTTGCTAGGGTGAATTGATATCTCATAGCTGTTTTTATTTTCATCTCTCTGACAGCTAGGAATTTTGAACACTTCTTCATGTATTCGTTTGATATCTGAATGTCTTCTTTGGTAAAGTGTCTATTCATATTCTGTCCCCATTTTGTGATTGGGTTGTTTGCCTTTTTCTTGTAGAGTTGCTGGTATATTCTATAAATTTTAGATATAAGTCACTTATCAGATATGTCATTGCCAAATATTTTTCCCATTTTGTGGGTTTCCTTCTTACCCTGTTGGAGAAGCTTTTTGGTGTTCATTGGGATTTGATTCATAGAAGGTATCCTTCATCTATTTTATTCTCTCCTCTTGTAGGTTATATTTTCATATTCATGCATCCTCCTCTCATGTCTTCAGAGATTTATTCCTGGCAAACACTTCCATTTTGCTCGTGTATTATTGAGTGTTTTGAAGAGTGGCTGCCTCCCTGATGTTATTGATCGCCAGACAACAGCTCTGGGATAAATTCAGCTGCAGGCTTGATGAGACTACTAGTCACAGTCTTGGGGTTCTGCTGGTCTAGATTGCACCAATAAGCCTGAGCGTTTTAGGAATTTGACTTGTGCTTTAATTTCCCCTCCATTTTGTATAAGACCTTCTACTGTCTTCTCTTTCAGAGCAGTCAGCAGGGGCAACCAGACTTCTTCTGGCCTCTTCTGTAGTTCTTCTGATCTCATGGTCATAGGGAGCTCTGGTGGCTAAGTGGTAAGAACTTGCCCAGCCAACCCAAAAGCATGCATTTTGACTCTTCCAGCTGTGGGAGAATGATGAGCATTCTCCTTCTGTGTGATTTCTTTCCTTTGAAAACCCACTGGAGGGTCAGCTGTGTGTCAGTTTGGACTCGACGGTAAACAACAACATGGTCATGGACACTTAAGTTCATATCATCCATTAGTCCTTTGGTATAAGCTCTGGATATAGAGACTAATAGTTAGATCTTAGATGATTGCTCAAAAGCTTCTAACACTAATTTGCTGCTCAACAACGTAGGATATAGAATACCAGCTTTGCAGACTTTGCTATGTCAGTTGACATTGATGTCCTCATGACTGTGGTCTTGAACTTCCAGTCCTGGTTACTAATTCCTTCAAGGTGTTTGTTGATGACCAAGGAGTTTTCATAATACTTCCACCATTTTACACACTCTTACACATTGATCTATTTGCAGCACATACAGATACACATGTAGTCATATTATCTGCCAAACCTACATGGTATAATCTAATTCACATAGCTTCAACATGCCTGTGTGCCAATGTATCCATACATAGATTATTTTTTTAAAAATTAGAGAACAAAATATATTTATGGATTATTACTACTAACAGTGCACAACTGTATATGTCATAGTGTTTGCCTTTGCTGTGTGTAGCTCTGGTGCACCTCTTGATATCTTCCTTTTCCAAAGTGATATTGTGCTAAGCAGCAGCTTTTTGTATATTGCCTTCCTTTTAAATCAATTTAATTAGAATATCTTATCTCTTTAGGAATCTGGTAGTGTAATGTAAAAGACATCAGGTTCCTAACTTCAAGATTGATAGTTCAAATCCACTGCCTACTCCATATGAGAAAGATGGGCATTCTCTTCCTATAAAGGTTTATATCCTTGGAATCTGAGTGGAGGGCCATTATGATTCAGGATTAATTTGATGGCCATGGATTTGCTTTTGCTTATTTTCCTTCTAGTTAGTGATTTAGTCATCTCTTCCTTCCCTTCCAAATTAATCTTTAAAGAATATTTCTTTCTCTGTAGAAATTTCCTAAATTTTTATAGTAGTAGACTTGTATAATATTTATCTTTTTATGATTGATTTCTTTCACTCCACATAATGTCCTCTAAGTTTATCCACATTGTAAAGCTTTTCATGGATTTTCTCTTCATTGGTATTGGTATTATGTAGTATTTCATTGGTGCTCATTTCAACAATATGTATAGTAAAATTAGAATAGTACGGAGAAGCATGGCCCCTGAATAAGGATGACAACAAAATTTTTGAAGCATTCCATATTTTTATATATTATTAATTATCTTATAGATTACCTGGGCATGTGCTTATTTGTTTATCATTTGCTCCTCTTAATAGAGCACTGTCTTTCTGTTTCCCGTCCTTGGGTAATATGTGGGTTGCTGTTATCTATACCACTGGTGTTTCACGTGCCAGAAGAGTTACTCATAGTGGTCAGGTTTCAACAGACCTCCTCAATTAAGACATACTAGGAATCCAGATTGGCCATCCTCTTCTGAAATAGCAGCCCAATGAAAAATAGAGGAACACTGGTAGCTATGGTATTAGAGGTAAACCTCAGATTGGAAATCAATCAAAATAAGAACACAATGAATGCTTCAATGGCCTCGAGTATGTCTGAAATAATGAAGATGACACAGTACAGGGAAGGGCTTAGACCTTTTGTTCACAGTGTTGCCATGAGCCATACGTGACTTGACTGATGGTATCTAATGATCAAAACAACAGTATCCCATTGTGTGTATATGTTATTTGTTGTGAATAATTCTTCAGGGAACATGGGTATAAGAGTGTGTGTGTGTGTGTACAACACTATATGTTATACACTATATAGTGTGGTGTGTACACACACACACACGTTGTTGAGTACTGTAGAGTTGGAACCAACCCATAGCTCACCTTCCAGTGCGGTTTCGGAGATAGTTAATTGTGTGAGAGGAGATTACTCATCCTCTCCCATGGAGCAGTTTGTGGCCTTGAACCCTGTGCCTTTGGGATTGCTGCAAAGCTTCGTGCCACTAGGCCACCAGAGTGCGCGCGCGCGCGCGCACACACACACACACACACACACACACACACACTGATGTTGGTATTGAGTACCATAGAGTCAGAACTGACACATAGCTGACCCTTCAGTGGGTTTCAGAGGCTTTAATCACTCAAGAGGAGATTGCCCATCCTCATGCAGATCAGCTGATAAGTTCGAACTGCATGACTTTGGGATTGCAGGGCAGTTTCTTACCAGTAGGCCAAAAGAGTGTGTGTGTGTGTGTGTGTGTGTGTGTGTGTGTGTGTGTGTGTGTGTGTATGTTTCATGTCCGGGTTCTCATTTCTTTAAAATATATGCCAGTGGATGGATTGGTAGATTAAATAGTATTCTGATTTCCATATTTTTTAGGTAGCATTTATACCATGTCTCACAGAGGTTGGACTTTCTTAATGTCACACCAATAGTGTATGAGAGAATGCAGTCTTTCCATATCCTTGCCAACCTTTGTTGTTTTCTGTCTCATTGAACTTTGATTTTTTGCTCAAAGGAGATGATATCTCATTATTGTTTTGATATACATCTCTCCATGGGAAAATGGCTTAGTGGTAAAGAGTTGTGTTGCCAAACCATAGTTGTGCAGTTTGAATACAGTAGCTGCTCCTCGGGAGAAAAATGGGCAATCTTCTCCAAGCAGTTTATAAACTGAAAAGCCTTATGGTGGCTCAGCTATAAATTGGTTTTGACTTGAAAACAATGAGCTTGAGTCTGAGGATTTGTTAAAAAGATAATCTCTGTAATGGCTTTCAGCGTTTTGTTGAAGATCATTTGCCTGTAGGCAGATCGATTTACTCTTGATTTCCAAATCTTTTCCATTGGTCTATGCTTCTGTCACTGTAATAGTACCAGACTGGTTTCACTACTGTGATTGTACTGAAAGGTTTTAAATTGGAAACTATGAGGCCTCCTACTGTATTCTTCTTCAGTAGTACTTTGCATATCCAAGATTCTTTTCATTTCCATGTAAATGCTGCTTTTGTTATTAGGTGTCATTGAGCTGAGTATAACTCATAGTGGCCCCATGAACAACAGATCTGAACCCTGTCCTCTCCTGTGGCATCCTCACCATCTCTGACACACTTGAGCCTATTTTTACAATCACTGTGTCAATACACCTGGTTAAGGTCTTTCTCTCTTTCACCACCACTACTGAAATGATGTCTTTCTCCATGGAATAGCCTCTCCTAGCATCATGGCTACAACATGCTCAAAGTATGTCAGATGAAGGTTTATTATCTTTACATCCAAGAGGCACTCTGATTGCACCTTCTCCAAGGCATTTCTGTTTATTCTTTTTGCTGTCCATTGATTATTTCAAGTTCTTCCCCTGTACTACATTTCAAAAGCATCAATTCTTCTGTCATCTTTATTCATCGTACAGTTCTCAGCAGCATAGCAAGTGATTGAAAAGACCATGGCCTAAATCAGGCACAACTTAGTCTTCAGACTAATTTCATTGCTCCCCAATAAGTTGGAGAGGTCTTTACCAGTGAAGTACCTCATCTGATCTTCTGACTGCTGATATCAACTGCATTGATTGTGGATCCAAGTAAGTGAAATCGTTGACAGTTTCAGTCTTTTCTTAATCCATTATGATGTTGCCTTTTGTTCTAGTGGTGAGAATTTTTGCTTTCTTGATGCTGAGATGCAATTCATACAGTCTTCTGTAGCAAGCACTTCAAGTCCTCCTCACTTTGAGTAATCAAGCTTATATTATCTGCATAACAATTGTTACTGATGAGTCTTCCTCCAATCTTGATGCCACATTCTTCTTCACGGAGTCCAGCTTCTCAAATGATTTGTTCAACATACAGAGTGAATAGGTATAAAGAGAGGATATAACCCTGACATGCATCTTTCTTAATTTTAAACCATATATTATTTCCTTGCTCTGTTTATACTATAGCCTCTTGTTCTGGGAATAGCTTTTACATGAACCCAGTTAAATGTCCTGGGATTTCCATTTTTTTCCCCAGTGTTAACTATAATTTGTTATGATCCACATATTCAAATGCCTTTGCATAGAAAATAAATCACAAATGTAAATATTGTTGTTAAGTACCACCAAGTCAATTACAACTCATGGCAACCTTTGAATAATAGTATTGAACCTTCCCCTATCCTGAGCCAATCTCACTGTCTCTACACACCTGTTCCTAGTGCCAGAGTCACTGTGTTAGTCCATCTTGTCCAGTGTCTTCCTCTCTTATGCTCATTGTCCACCCTTCCAAACTTGATGTCCTAGTCTCTCCTGGCAACATGTCTCAAGTGTATGAGATTGAGTTTTAAAATCCTTGCTTCCAAGGAGCGACGCAGCTATATGACCTGTTTATTCTCTTGACAGTGTCCATTGTATGTTCAGTACTCTTTTTCCAGTACCACAAAGGCATCAATGCTGAAAGGCATCAATGATTCTTCTGTAATCCTTAATCATTGTGCATCTCTCTTTAAAGAGTATGGATGGAATATTAATAGAATTGCATTGTTATCTATAGATCACTTTGGGCAGTATTGGCATTTTCACAGTATAAATTCTTCCTATCCATGAGTATGGTATGTTTTTATATTTAAATATGTCTCTTTCAGTTTTATGTAGGTAATGCTTTGTAGTTTCCCTTGTATCTTTTGAATCTCTGATTATGTTTATTCAGTATTTATCTGTTTGATAGATAATGTAAACCATATTGTTTTCTTTCTTTCTTCTTCAGAATTGTGGGGGTTTTTTTGTGTAGAGGAATCTGATTTTTATTTTTTTAATCTCTTTATCCCTCTACATTGCCAAACCTTTGAGTAAGTGCAATGGTTTTCTTTATGAGTCTCTGGGATTTTCTTTATTATAGAAGCACATCATCTGCCAATAGTTTTACTTTCCTAATAATTAGATAACTAATCCTCCTGTGGGTTTTCAGAGGCAGTTAATTGCACAGAAGGAAATTGCCATGTTTCTCCGTCAGGGCAGCTCGTAGACTTGAAATATAGGCCTTTGAAGATTGCAGCACAGCCTGTTACCACTATTCCACTAGAACTTCCAATAATTGTTGCTATGTGCTGTTACAACTCATAGTGACCCTATGTACGACAACCCTGAAACCTGGTCTATCCTGTGCCACCTTTACTGTTTCTAACACACCTACCCTCATTACCCAAGTCACTGTATCAATCCATCTCATAAATGGTCTCCTTCTCTTTCTCCATCCCTCCATCTTTCCAAGCATGATGTCCCTCCAAAAGGACTGGTCCCTCTTTGCTGCATGCACAAAGTATGTCAGACAAAGCCTCAGAATCCTTGCCTCCAAGGAGCAGCCTGGCTTCACCCTTTCCAGGATGAACCTATTAGATGTCTTTTATTTCTCTTTCTTGACTTACTGCCTTGCCTCTCTTTATCTGTCAGTCCTTTGAAGTCATAACCAACTCATAATTGACCCTCAAATAGATTTCAAAAGCTATGAATCTTGTAGGGAGAAGATTGCCAATTTTTCTTCCATAGTTGTGCTAATATATTCAAACTTCTAGAGATGCCTTTGGATTTGCAGTGCAACAGTTCTATGGACTCCATCACCTGAGATCCTCTTGTCCTAGCTAGAACTTCTAAGACAGTACGGAATAAGACTGAAAGCCATGATTATCTAAATGAATAGTGATTGCCATATAAGGGTACAAAAAATGCATTGCTATTAAGAATACCGAAAATATTTCAAGTACTTCCCTTCATATTTTATCTGTTTACTTTTTACTAATATTTTGTGGATTTGGGCTGTCTTTTTGGTTTTTTTATCAGCATCTATTACAGTGCTGTGTCCTTAGTATATACTCAGGTAACAAATGGTTGAACAGACAGCATTTTCTGTCATTTTAGGATTCAGTTGCATTACCTTATTTCCTCAGCTAGCTCCTGACATGTGTGTGTAGTATGAAAGACAACATAATTCTGATGATAACTTTGTCTTTAAAAAAATAAAGAGAATGGGTGGGGAAAACCATGTTGTACTCTTTGCTCCCTGACTGCATTACTTTTAACGCCTAATGTTACCTTCTCTCTTTTAGATGGGAATGTAGTGGAGCCTGACATGTCGGCAGGGTTTTGCCCAGATCACAAGGCAGCCATGGTTTTGTTCCTTGACAGGGTCTATGGAATTGAGGTTCAAGATTTCCTCCTCCATCTACTTGAGGTTGGCTTTCTGCCAGATCTCCGAGCTGCTGCCTCTTTAGATACGGTAATTGTTTGAACAGTTGCCTTCCTGAATGTTTGACTCATTAGACTATGGCCTCATACAGCTAGACATTCGTTCATTTATCAACAAACATTTATCGAGTGTCTGTTTTAAGACATGTATTAGGAAGCAGAAAAAAAAGAAAAATTATGTCCCAAATAAGTTGCTGAATGGTGAGAGAAATTGGCACCATCAAGATTTTAAGAGTTCTAATAATGAATGATTAAAAGAGATTTCTGTAACGCTAGTTTGGGAAATCATAGAGGCTTCTATTCTCCTTTGTTTAAAGTAAACCTTTATTTTCATCTGAAAAAACATGATTTTCAATGAATATAGCTAAGTTATTAAGAAGATTGAATCCACATGTTGAGTTTTGGCAATTTCAGTATTAATCTTGTGCTTTCATTCATTAGGCCGAGACTTTAAAATCTGTCTTATATATTGGGTGACTAACATGGTAGAACTTCTATTATAAGTGTAAATATATAACTACTTAAAATATTGTAGATGAGCTGAAGTTCAAAATGTTGTTCTAGTGGTGATCATAATGTATTATTTTCTTTTCAAGAAGATAGCCCTTTGATGCTGGGTAAATCACATCTTTAGTTGCCTTCATGAAGTAACTGAGAGCTAAATTTCCAAAATGAAACTGAAATTTTCTTTTCCATTGCATATTCAAATTAAATTCTTAAATTTGCATATACAATTAGCCTTTGATTATTGATTCTGATTAATTTAAGTAACATATAAGTATTGTTAATAAATAGAACTCAGAAAGAACTTCTTGCTGTTTTTCTATACCATTGAGTCAAATATGACTCATAGCAATCCTATGAACAACAGCCCCAAACCCTGTCCTATCCTGTGATATCCTCATCATCTCTGGTACACTTAAACCCATTGCTGCATTCACTGAGCCACTTCATCTTGTTGGGGATCTTCCTCTCTTTTGCTAACCCTTCATCATAGGAATATGAAATCTATGATCTACAAAACTCAAACTTATTGTTGTTGAGTCAGAACCAACTCATAGGTGACCATCTAGTGGGTGTTTACAGGCTCTAACACATAAGGAAAGAGATTGTTCATCTTTTCCCCACAGAGTGATGGGTGGATTTGAACTGCCTGCTTTTGGATTAGCAACAATTCCTTATTGACTAAACCATCAGAGCTCCCTAGTAGAACGTCTCTATTTTGATAGATAAATGATCTGTTATAATAGCTAAGCTTTTGTTCCTACTTCCCTACTAAAGAAAATTATTCACATTCTTTAGTATTAGTAATATTTTAATTTTTCCTTGATCCTGCCATTGGTATTTCACTATAGGACTTGAACTTTATGAACTTTTTGAAGAGATAGATATTATTTCATTTGTTTTGGTCAGTAGATGAAAAATTTTAAGTTTATTATATTTCAGAGATAAAGATCATTTGAGCTGCATCTAAAGATATGACTGAGAGGTATATTTCACTTTTTCTCTTTTTTCCTATTTCCCCACAGATAGAGAAGTTACTGTCAGCATGTTGGTCCTGTTGAAAGTTTTCTGGTACTTAACATAAATGTCATTCTGTTCTTTGTTGGTTTTGTAGGCTGCCTTGAGTGCTACAGACATGGCCTTAGCCCTCAATCGGTACCTGTGCACAGCCGTGCTTCCTTTGCTAACAAGATGTGCTCCCCTTTTCGCTGGCACGGAGCACCATGCTTCCCTCATTGACTCCTTGCTTCACACTGTCTACAGACTCTCCAAGGGCTGCTCTCTTACCAAAGCTCAACGAGACTCCATCGAAGTGTGCCTACTTTCCATTTGTGGGTAAGTGCGCATCTTGCTCTAGGCTGTTTCTCTCTTAAGAAAAAAGGAATCACTTTGTGACATCTCACAGACTCTTAGACATTTTAGAGACAATTTTGTACCAACTTTTTTTTAATGATTTCTTGTCTTTTGGATAGTCCCACACACTAGAGTAGTGTGAGTCCAATCTGAGCCTTCTTGCTCCTGAAATGTAGTCCTCATGGCTCTGCAAGGACATCTAACACTGGGAGATATTCTTTGACCAACTACAGTAGACAATTCAGGACGCTGGTGTTGGGAATTATTGTGGAGGGGTCCCTATCTACTTTAGTGTATGATTGATTCCTCCTCTTTAGACCTGGTATGCTGATATTTAATTCATTTTCCAGAAGAGGAAAGGAGAAAGTTTTTATATATAACTTTATATCATATATATGTATCTATTATGTATAAACTTAGCCATTCTATGATGATTAAGCTTAAATGAGTCTTCCTGTTTGGAAAATCAGCATTGAAGCATCATTATTTTAAAAAGATAAATTACCTCCTATAACTCTGTATCCCTGATGACCAGATATCTGTTTCTTGAAACATGGCTCAACTGAAGATTGTCTAGGATTTAGGCTAATGAAATTGAACTTGATTCAGAGAGGTAAGTCAACGATGAGTCTTGATTGAGCACAAGTCGTAGGTGATATTAGGACATCTAATAGCTGGCTACAGGTCAGACTGACCCAAACAAGGTGCTGATGCCCATCCTTCCTTCTAGAAAGCTGGGTTCATTCCATTTTAGAGCTACACCAGTGTACAGATATATTGACTTTTCTAGATGTCGAGAAATTAGATGAAGCTTAAAGAATATATGAAGTAAGTGTGTATGCCTGTGTGTTTAGGGGGTGAATGTGTATTTAGGAAGAGGAGATGAAGAAACTCAGAAGAGTCTTTGAGCATACAGTCAATTTATGTTTATTATAAGCAGAGACTAAAAAGACTTCTTCATAGTCACTACACTCTGTTTTACTTACCTGAATAATTGGATAATTGGAAAACTTTGCAATCACTTGCTATGCATCAGAGAGCTGGACAATGACTAGGGATGATAAATGGAGAATTGATGCCTTTGAGCTGTGGTGCTGGAGAAGAGTACTGAATATACCATGGACTGCTAAGAAAACGAACAGGTTCATCCTAGAGAGGGTTAAACCAGGCTTTTCCTTGGAGTCAAGGATTCTTAAGCTTCGTCTGACATAATTTGGGCATATTTCAAAGAGGGACCAGTCCTTGGAGAGGGACATCATGCTTGGGAGGGTAGAGGGTTAGTGTAGGAAAGGAAGACCCTCTGTGAGGTGGATTGATTCAGTGACTGGGGTAATCAGGCTAGGTGTGTTGGAGACTTGAGATTGGCACAGGATAGAGGAGAGTTTATGGCTGTTGTATGTAGGGTCGCTATGAGTCACAGGCGACTTGATGGCACATAACAACAACAAGTATTAAGTAATTATGTGTCGTTATTTAGAATTCAGTATTTGGCTTCTCATATGCTTTAAGTATGTTGCCAGGAAATGGCAGTCCTTGGAAGAAGATTTCATGCTTGGAAAAGCAGAGGGTCTATAAAAAAGGAAGACCTTTAATAAGATGGAGTGACACAATGACTACATCGTGCTTGAGCATGGTAGAGACCATGTAGATGGTGTAATTTAGAGCAAGCTTCATAGGGTCACTATGAGTCAATTTATTTGATGGAGACAGGAAAGAGATGGGTCTTATTAGAAGATATGCATAAGAAATCAGTACAGTAGTTTACGTTTGTACCATCTAAAGAAAGATGTTATTGCCAATGTCAGATGGATCTTGACAGATAGCAGGGAGAACCAGAAGAATGTCTATCTTTGTTTCCTTGACTAAGCAAAAGATTTGATTCTGCATCACAATAAATTGTAGCTAACCTTGAGGAAAATGGGAATCTCAGAACACTTGATCATGCTTATATGAAACCTATACTTGGATCGAAAGCAGTCCTCAGAACAGAGCAAGGAAACACTGCATGGTTCAAAATCAAGAAAGGAGTGCATCAGGGATGCATCCTGTCCCTGTTCCTTTTCAATCTGTTTTCAGAACATATCTTTCAGGAGGCAGGGTTTTATGAGCATCAGTATGGCATCAAGATTTGAGGAAGACTCATTAACAACCTATGATATAAAGATGACACAGCATTGCTTGCTGAAACTGAAGAAGACCTGAATCACTTGCTGAAAAAGATCAAAGACTATAGTCTTCAATATGGATTGAAGCTTAACATCAAGAAGACAAAGTTTCTAACCACTGGGCCAATTGACAGCATCATAATAGATGGAGAAGAGATTGAGGTTGTTAGCAATTACAGCTTGCTCAGATCCAAAAATCAATACTCTTAGCACCAGCAGTCAGGAAATGAATTGCATTGGGAAAATATGCTGCCATAGATACCTCCAGAGTGCTGAAAAGTAACAGTATCAGTCTAGATACAAAGGTGTGCCTAATCTAGGCCATGGTCTTCTCAATTACTTGTTATGCTTCAGAAAGTTGGACAATGACTAAGGATGACAGAAGAATAGATGTCTTTGAGTTGTGGTGCTGGAGAAGAGTTTTGATCATACCATGGACTGCCAAGAAAACCAATAGGTCTGTCTTGGAGAAGGTGAAACCAAGTCTCTCCTGGAGACTAGGATTTTGAAGCTCTACCTCACTTACTTTGGGCATGTGGCCAGGAGAGATCAGTACTTGGAGAAGGACATCAGGCTCAGAAGGGTGGAGAGGCAGCGCAGGAGAGGGAGACCCCACATGAGATGGATTGATACAGTAATTGGGGCAACGGGGGTTGGTGTGTCAGAATTAATAAGACTGGCTCAGCACAGGGAATGGTTCAGAGCTGCTGTACACAGGGTCTATATGCATTGCAGGCAACTCAACCAATAACATTCTATGACGGGTTTGGAAGCAGGAGCAGTATCCACTTCCTAAACATGCCTCCAGAATCTCTATGAACTTTGATAAATGTCAATAGTTTTAGAGGGACTTTAGGCCTTTTGTTCATTGGGTCACTATGAGTCTGTTTGACTCAAAGGCAATCAACAACAACAACAAAGAAAGATATAGTTAACAGGTTCCTGGCTGATATAATTTAGTCTAATGAATTATCTACTTGACATATAAAAGTTCATTATTAAAACTGGCATTGTTCCAACAGCCAGTTGAGGCCTTCCATGATGCAACACTTACTTAGAAGATTTGTGTTTGATGTCCCGTTACTAAATGAACATGCAAAGATGCCACTGAAGGTAAGTGCAGGAGACATTCTCATTTGTGTGATTGATCACTTATTTCACTGGTCTTGCTAATGTAACCTGTAGGAAAAGCATCAGAAAGTATATACCATATTTAATTATTGTTGCTGGACATTGTGTTCAAGTTATTAATTAGATAAGTTATAGAGATAATGCACATTTGCTTGAATCAGTAATAGAGCCTGGTCATGCTTGAATTGATTTACTCATAAGTAGATCACAACAGAAAGATGAGCCGAGATAGTCTTGGGCTGGAAAAGTAAAATATTAGAATGCCTTCAAGGGATTAAAGGTTGGCTTTTTTCCAAGTTAGCAATCAATGACAACTTCCAAGTCTCCTCTCATATGGTTTGAGGATAAAAACTCTTTCTGTTCTAGTCTGCCACTAGTCGTCAGAAAAAGCCATTTTTCTAATTTTCTGGTCTAATCATGACAGATCAAGTTTGAAGATGTCTTACTGATCTGGAAATATTTTCCTTTCATCTCACGCCTTAATTCAAGCTAGAATAGCATGCTCTAAGGTAGCGAGGTTATTTGGTGGAGAAAACTTATTTCATTAGCACTGTGCCCCCTTCGTAATCATGCTGTAGAAAACAGACTTGAGATAAACATTGAGTTTGCTTAAGTGACCATCCCTGAGTAGGTAGTGAAAGTAATCCTTCTCAGTGAAAATAGATTTGGACTTGGTCAATTAAGACAAAACAGCAATTTTAAAAATCAAGAGAACATAATACATTTTGTAAATTAAATAATGTCTTTGCTAATCACCTCATTTTTGAAGTTTTCACCTTCTAAGATTGAGTTCATCTCAGTGCCAATTGGAAGAGAGCTGAAAAAGATGCAGTGTTAGATTTTTATCTTTTTGTAGAAAAATGCTTTTGCATTTTAGATAAAGCAAATTAGAGCTTCATAGTTCAGCATTTGGGACACCTTAATTGTGTATATTTGAGGTGGAATGGGGTAAGATAGGGATGGGAAATGTGTGTGTATGGGTGTGTGTCTTTGAGTTTCTTGCAAATAAGATGACACTCAAACTAGGAAACTAGGAGAAATATTTCAACAGTAAGCTCTATTAACAATAACTCTTATTAAGAAACTTCAAAAATATTATACTTGATTTATAAAGATCAGTTTATTAATTTGGTAAATTGCTATGACTATTTTCTTGAGACTAACTTCAGAATTAATGAGTACAAAAGCTACATAAACAGGAGATTATACATGAACAGAAGATTTTATCCTTCCCTTTGAATTTCATGTTTAACCCAGAACAGACAAAGCATACCTAGATGGAAAGATAAAGAATAACATAATCACTACAAAATGCTACTCACAAACCACTGCAGAAATACAGTTAAAGGAATGATTCAAACACAGCAGTTGGGAATATTATTTAGCAAAGTAAATTTTCAGGCAAATCATAAAAATCTGGTTAAGAACAGGCAGATAGGGAACAAAAATATTCTCCAGTGCTTATTTCTCTTTTTAGTGTACATTTTAAGTGTTACGCACTACACATATTTAATTTTTTTAATAATTGATGATCACTCTTGACTACTTGGTTATTGGTCCTGTCATATTTATGATTGTCAGGGATTATATATGTAGTTCTGGTGGCATAGCCTGTGCGGATCTGTGCTGCTAATCCAACGTTAGAAGTGCAAACCCACCAGCCACTCTGTGGGAAAAAGATAGGCAATCTCTTCCCATGAGGCTTGCAGCCTGTGGAAGCTGTAAATATACAAACAGTCGGAGAATGAGCTATGAATTGGTTCCAACTAGAAGTCAATGAGGAAGTGAATGAGAGAGAGAAGAGTTCATAAAGTCATGCATACTTGCAGTATGGTTGTCCAAACACTGTGTGTGTAGTAGTTAAGAGGTAGAAACGAGCTAAATGTCCATCATCAAATGAATGGGTAAGCAAACATTAACATCTCTCAGCCATGAAAAGAAATGAAGGCTTCATACATACTACAAAACAGCGAACTTTTAAAATATTATGGAGGGTTAAAAGAGTCATAAAGAACAAATATGATATGATCCCAGTTAATAAAAAATATCTAAAAAGACCAAAGCCCATTAGTGGTGATCCAGTGGAGAAGTCAGGAGAAATGCAGACTCTTAGCCAAGGGAGCACTAGGCATAACGTGACAGGAAAGTCTGGGGATGGAGTGTAGTGGTGGCTACCCAACATGGTGAATATAGCAATCAGTGTCACTGGATTGTATGTGTAAATAATGTTGAATAGGTAAGTGTGTGTGTACACATGTATGTATATACTATTACATTAAAATAAAATGGAAATTTTAAGTAAAAATTCAATGAAAAATCATGAGTGAAATAATACCTTAAAGCAGAACTTGGAGATAGATAACTATCTTTTCATTATCAGTTTTCTAAAACAGAGACAGTCTGCAAGGTAAAAATTGGAATTCTAAAGCAACTAATATGAACTTTAAAAGTTTAACTTGAGTTTGCTTTGAGGGCCTTAGAATATGATATAGAAGAAAATAAGACTGAATACCAAGAGTGTTGATCATTCATGACTTTTATAATTGTTCTCCCTTGTAGTTGCTGACAAATCATTTTGAAAGATGCTGGAAATATTACTGCCTGCCAGGAGGGTGGGGAAGCTTTGGTGCTGCCTCAGAAGAAGAACTTCATTTATCACGAAAATTGTTCTGGGGCATTTTTGATGCCCTGTCTCAAAAGGTAATTTGGTATTTTATAGATTTGTCTGAACTGATAAAGCAATACAAAGCCCTAGATTCTTGATAAGACAGTTCGCCTAGAGGAATAATATAATCAAGTTTACACAGCTATAATTACCATAATCAAGACTTACCTAGTTTTATTTGTGTGTGTGTGTGTATCTTTATGAACCAAATAATAAATGTAGAGAATGCAATTTAGATGAGCCTTCTTATAATCTCAGTGTAGATATACTCCGGATGATTGTTGTACTGTTTCTGACTTTAAAATTAAGTTTTTTCAGGAAATTAAACAGGATGGCAAGTTCCTTGAGCATTTTGAATTGTTTGGATTTTACCTGTCTTTAGTCATTGGCTTCCCTTTATAAAGCCTGAAGATACTTTGATGTTACAAAATGTAAATATAGAAAATATTTTCAAATTAAAAATCTCTGTGGTTTTAGAGACTTTTGCTGGTGCTACTATAGAAATTTAAGTACTCCTGCCAGTCCTGTTTATATGAGCAGTGATTCCTCATACCTGTCCTAGAAATAATAAATATTTTATGGGTTTTCAGAGTGACTGTAGCATTCTTATTTCACAAAAAATCAGAACACATGATGTAGTCTCACCCTGAAATTATTCATCAGACTCAGTTTTGACTCAGAGACATTATCAGATGGATTACATCCAGATATTGGTCGTGTAGTGGTGGAAAGTTTATCTGGGATTACATTTAATATTTACACTTCACTGCTTTGTCTCACTGAATGGCCTTTGTTGAAATGAGTGTCCTTTTGAAATAATATGTAGAAGATATTTTAGAAGCATTTACAATATTAATTTGAATTCTGTATTTAACATAAAATAACTTTAAGACATTACTGTATATGCAAATTTAATTATGTGATTAATATACAAATACCTCTTTTATTATTTGCATTCTTTTTAATATTTCTTTTCCTGTAATGTGCTATGGAGAAATCAAAATTTCACACTCTTTAGAATACCATCCTTTATGTATTTTATGTATTTTATACATTTGTGATTATAATGTGGTGCTGCAGTAATTTATAACTAACTATATGGAATATAGGCAGCTCTAGTGGCCTACTGGTAAGGAATTGGGCTGCCAACCCAAAGACACATGGTTTGAATCTACCAACTACTCTGCGGAAAAAAGATGGACAGTCTTTTCCTGTGCAAATTACAGCCTCTGAAAACTCACTGGAGGGTCAGCTATGGCTTAGTTCTGACTTGAGGGCACATAACAACAGCAGTATAAGGAAGGTAATTCTTTATGTCTGGAATTATGTTTGTTATCATAGCATGTTGTACTTTCACCATAATCAAGTTCCTTTGAAAAAGTGAGAGAGAAACTTCCTTCAGAAAGGTGTTTTACTTTGTATTGTAAATGCAATGCAGCTACTCACTTAAGCTGCTTGTATATGTGGTTAAGTCTTCAGGTATTCTGTTCCATTTGCTGAAGAAAGGCTCTTGTGATGAATCACATTGAGAACAGGCTAATTCACCTTTTCTCCTATGATGCTGAACCAGCCATAGTGTTCATGTTAACTGTTGCTGTGTACCCAGTCAGAACCAACTCATTGCTGACCCTCTAGCAGGTTTTCAGTGGTAGTAAATTACTAGGGAAGAGATTGCCCATCTTTCTCTTGCGGAGAGGATGGTGGATTTGAACCACATGCCAATGGGTTGTCAGCACAACTCCTTATCACTGGGCAACCAGAGCTCCCTTTCTTATTTGACAGTGCTTGCTAAATGTTATTGTGTTATTACTGTTTCTATTTCTCCCCAGAAATATGAACAAGAACTTTTCAAACTGGCTCTGCCTTGCCTAAGTGCAGTTGCGGGAGCTTTGCCCCCAGACTACATGGAGTCAAATTATGTCAGTATGATGGAAAAACAGTCATCAATGGATTCTGAAGGGAACTTTAACCCACAACCTGTTGATACCTCAAAGTATGGACTCTTTCTATTGCAGCAGATTTTTATTGTAAATGATGTGTGAAGTCTGAAATTGAATAAGGTACTAAAGTGAACTTTCTCTAATCCATGCCCCCTTTGAATTCGTATCCTTTTAATAGGAGCCCCTGTAATTTATGAAATTATAACAGTACTAATCATGATCATATTGAAGTCAGAAACAGATAAAAATGTACATTCTAGGATACTCTTAACATAATCAGGATTCTTGGCATGTAACAACAGATCTGCAATTATGAGACTCAAGAGACTCAATCAGTTATCTGTTCAGGTGGAAATGTGCCTTAACCAAATTCTTTTAGCATCTTTTGCCTGGAATGAGTCTAGCCTGTACTGCAGAGCTGGTTCCAAAAAGCTGTAGTCATTTCCCTCATTGCTACCTCTCAAAAGGCCCAGGATTTAGTAGTGGCGTAGATCTTCATAAAGCAAAGCATAGGGCAGAAAGATCAAGTGAAAATATTGATGGAAAGTTTCACATGGAGTTAAGATGCATTTTTACAACTATAGTCAAAGATTGAGCAGCGTCATGAAACTTCTCACATGTGTGTAGTTGTAGAAATTGCTCTGCCAATAGGATGTTTGGGTGTTTTAGATGATTGAAGTCTCTCCATTTTTCATTCATTTATTTACTTTTATAACTGTCTTTAAGTAGGACCATGGTTTCCCATTTGCAAGGAAGCTGCCTCTTGATGCCACATTACCTTATTGATTTCATGGTGACTCAGCAAGATCAGTGTTAGCAAGGCAGACACTGGGTAGTTACTGTCCACGCCTCTGAATATGCACTGCTGGAGTTCAACTTTGAGTCGGCCCCCAGCTGGTTTAGCTTCTGTAACCTGACCCTATTTCCATCCTGAGTGGTATGCCATTAGTTTGCTAATGCCTTAAATTTGCATGTTTGGTATTTGCTGATAGTCCTGTGGGAAAGACTCCTTCCCTACTCCCATCCCCAGTACTGGGTTTATATTTGATCCATTTTATCTCTTCTAAAGTAAGTAAACCAAAATATCCCATGTTCACATCCCTATGTGGGTAAATTTATAGTTTGCTAATATATGTCTTAATCCAGGATTATGAAATAGCATCGGAAGGATGTGTCCTGGATTAGTTGGTTTTGAATTAAATCCAGGTTAATTAAATTTTGGGCATGTGTATTAGTTTACCCAGATTTGCCACTTGATGGGCTTCTTTGTAGATGTAAACTTCCAGAGTGATATACAGTAACTTCTGCATCATTGTGACTGTAATGTATTGGCTTCTTAAATGTATTTCTGCTATTTAGTTCAGTTAGTTACTGATTGATATCTTTTCCTAGGTGAAAACAAACAGTAAACCATCTCTTTATGCTACGTTGGATTTAGAATCCTATCCTCAATATTAATAATTTTTAAAAGTTGTTTTTAAAAGGCATATTCATTAACGAATAGAATTGTGTGTGTATATATGTCTATCTGTCTGTCTATTTATCTATCTATCTATAATGGTATAATCCATTATATATTGTAATGTATATAATCGCATTATTATAAGTACATCTCTGAATAAATATATATAGTAAATATACCTGTGACTGGAAAACAAAAACAAAAATATATGTTTATTTTTGTATTGACTACACATATTTCCATTTCCATTCATAGATATAACTGATATTCCTAAATCTTGCTTTCATGCTTAGATTTGGCCATCATTTGAATGTATTCGACATATATTCAAGAAGTTTTATATTTAAACATATATGTAGTAGAGAATAAATAGTATCAGAATTATAAAGCAGGACTTGATTAATGCTTTTCTGTAGAGTAGGTTTTGATAACAACTATAATTTTAGATACATCATGAACTTTAAAGTCATTAATATCTTAGTGACTTGGTGGTAAAAAGTTGCGCTACCAATCCCCAAATGCAAAAGGTTCGAATCCACCAGCTTCTTTGAGAGAAGGATGGGCAATCTCCTCTTGTGTGATTTCCAGTCTCTGAAAACCCTCTGGTGGGTCTGCTTTGAGTTTATTTCAACTCTTTGGCAGTGAGCAAGAACTATGAAATTAAATTTTCAATAAGTTTAAAAAACATAACACCTTGAGTTTTCAGTAGCTGTTTCCTCATTTTTGTTGAAGAAAAAACACATATAAAAGGAAAATGACAGGGTTTTTGTTGTTCTTTTAATTTTAGTTTTGATATGATTTATTACTCTCATTATAATTATATCTTATTAATAATCATCCTACTTTTATCTTTATTAATATGCCTTAATAATTTTTTCTATTAAATGGTGTTTCCATAACTGCATAATTGATCACTTATTAACACATAAAATATGAATGAGCAGGTAAAACTATCTGCTTGACTTGTTTTATATTGTTATGAAAGGATGAAAAAAGTGTTATTTCTAAAGTATTTTAATAGTAATTCATTGAATATGACTTGAACATTTCATAAACACTGAATAAATGACTGTGATTTTCTGTCAGTTCTATGCAAATCAAACTTTTGTTCTTTATTTTTCTTATAGTATTACAATCCCTGAAAAATTGGAATACTTCATTAACAAATATGCAGAACATTCCCATGACAAATGGTCAATGGACAAGGTAAAATGATGACCTTGCTTTCTAACTCAGTACTGTCTCTGTTCGCAGATAGGTCGTTATGCAAATACTTCTGACAATGACATTATCTTCTTTAGAATGAGAAAGCTTTGTCAATATTAGGAATGAACATTGAATTATAATTTGCTCTGGTGGCCTAGTGATAAAGAGTTGTGCTGCCAACTAAAAGACAAGTGGTTCAAACCCACCAGGTACTCTATGAAAGAAAGGTGCACAGTCTCTTCCTATGTGATTTCAGCATCTGGAAAAGACCATACTCTGTAATAAAATTACATGTAATATTTTTTATTTTCTTTAGTTGGCAAGTGGATGGATTTATGGAGAAGTATATTCAGATTCTTCTAAGATTCAACCACTAATGAAACCATATAAACTATTATCTGAAAAGGTGAGAGATTTGATTTTGCTAAGTTTATGTAATTTTAAAATGATTTCTCTATGGTTCAGCTCCCTCCTCCACTCCTTGAATCCTCATACTTCTTCTGTTTGTCCTTATAAGACATAATTATATGGTCCCATAATTTTATGAGTGGAGGGAGGGATAGGTAAATGAATAGGGAAAGATCTGGTGTAAAAAACAACGTATACAAATTTTATGACCTTTTTATTTAAACCACTATAAAATTTTTTTTAAAAATCCCTTTTTGAGAAGATGTTTTATTACAAATTTTCCTACTTAAATGTCTGTTATGTTTACTATTTTTATTTCTACTTAAAGGTTCCATGTTTTTCATGTTTTTTGCATTTTCATTTGTTAAGTATTTTATCGGTATTCACATCTCTACTTAGTATTTTCCAGCTCATTCAAATCGTACTTTTCTGTACTTTTAAAAAAATAACAATAATGTAAATTTATTAGAGAGTTACATCCCCAAAGGGACGGACCTTCTTCCTTGAAAAGAAATGAGGAGAAAAGGCATTTTTCCTATTTTTTAAGAGCCTTCCAGAGTCACTGCTTCATGTAAAAATATTCTGATGACGAAAATTGAAGTAATAGTTTAATATACTTGTTAGTCATAAGTTTTTCATGGATTGTAGTTTTATGGGGGAAATGAATATCTTGATAAGTGAAGTAAAAACACTTTTTCTAGCTTGATGGTTGGAGGAAAGTTACTTCTCTGTTTATTCAGATGGTAGAAAAGTTCTCACATATTTAGTATCTGCCATTTTTTCATGGTTTTTATTCTCCTTTTCAGTTTCAACATGAGCTGTCAAAAGTGGCACACCAAAGGAGCTGGTTTGCCCAACTGTAGTGACACAAGTCCTTAACACCACTATTATAGTTGTTATGTGTCATCAAGTTAAAACCAAACCATAGCTGACCTTCTAGGGGGCAGTTTCAGAGGCAGTAAGCACATGGGAGGAGACTGTTCATCCTTCTGTGGAGTAGCTGATAGATTTGAACCCTGTGCTTTCGGGATTGTAGCAGTTTCTTACCACTAGGCCTCCAGAGCTCCCTAACACCATTACTTATATCCCACCATTACTTATATAACGCCATTACTTATATCCCAGCTCATATTCTACTTTTCTGATTTCCTACTGTTCCCCTCACTTTTTTAGTAAACAGAGCTGTTTGGATAAAAAAGTAAAAGCAGTCTGTTTCTGAACAAATAATGAACTTTTAAAGTGTTTTGGTTGTTTTTGTTGCTGTTAGGTACTGTCAAGCTGACTACAGCTCGTAGCGATCCTATGAACAACAGACCTAAACCATGCTCTGTCCTTCACCCTCTCTGATAGGCTCAAGCCTGTTGTTAATAGTCAGTGTCAATCCATCTTGTTGAGGATTGTTTATTTCTTTTGTCTTTCTCCTCTAGGAAAAAGAAATTTATCGCTGGCCAATCAAAGAATCTTTAAAGACTATGCTGGCCTGGGGCTGGAGAATTGAGAGGACACGGGAAGGGGACAGCATGGCTCTTTATAACCGAACACGTCGCATTTCCCAGACGAGCCAGGTCAGACCCATGGCTTTCAATCTGTTGCTTGTGTTCTTTTTTTGAATGCCATCTTAATCTTCTCACTAATTATTAGGGTTTTTAAAGCAAATAAATTGAAGATTCTGAAGACGATCTTAACTACCTTGTTATGCACCAGAGAGTCAGAACCGGCCAATAGCTCACCTCCAGTGGGTTTTTAGAGGCAATTAATCAGATGAGAGGAGATTACCCAGGTTTGTCCCTCAGGGCAGTTGATGGATTCAGACCACTTGCTTTCAGGATTATAGCAAAAATTGTTGTGGTATTTTCCTATTTTCTCAAAAAGGCTCAAGCTCATTGCCATTGAGTCAGAATTGGCTCATACTGATTATCCAGAGGGTTTTCAGATGTTGTGTATTGTGTAGGAGAGGATTGCCTATCTTTCTTCAGCAGAGCCACCTATGGATTCCAACAACCTGCCTTTGGGTTGGCAGCACAACTTCCTATCCATGAGGCCACCAGAGCTCTCTTTTTCCCCTATTCTAGATACGATTAAATTGTGATGACTAAAGCAGCTGAGTTTACCCATCAATTCTTGCATTTCCTGGCTAGTAAGAAGGAGAAATTGGCTGTAAGGTTCTGTTGTTGTTAGGTGCCATCGAGTTGTAGACGACTCATAGTGACCTGATGAACCAAATGCCTGAGTACTGTCCGTACATAGAGCTTCTGGAGGCAAGCCATTTCGGAACTGGGTGTTGCTCCTGCTTCCAGGCTTGTTTTAGCTGGGAAGCTCTAGCCAACACTTGTCCACCATGGGCAACCATTACCATGTTTGGCACATCAGTGTCACAGGGTTCAGCATCACAGCAACCACGAGTTACCTCTGTACAGCAATGCACAGACCAGTGCTCTACCACCTGGCTCAAGTTTTAATAATAAAGGCTGCAAAACATGCCCAATAACTACAGTTACCAGCTCTCATTGAGCAGATTTCAATAGAAGAATGAACAGTAGATATAAGTAGTAAATTATATGTTGTTGTTGTTGTTGTTATGTGCCGTCGAGTCGCTTGCGACTCATAGCGACCCTATGTACAACAGTCCTAAACCCTGCTCTATCCTGTCCCAATCTCACTGCCTCTGACACATCCATCCCGATTACCCCAGTCACTGAATCAATCCACCTCATAGAGGGTCTTCCACTCCTGCGCTGTCCCTCCACTCTGCCCAGCATGATGTCCCTCTCCAAAGACCTGTCTCTCCTTACAACATGTCCAAAGTATGTCAGGCGAAGCCCCAGAATCCTTGCCTCCAAGGAGCAGCCTGGTTTAACCCTCTCTAGGATGAATCTATTTGTTTTCTTGGCAGTCCATGGTACATTCAGTATTCTTCTCCAGCACCACAGCTCAAAGGCGTCAATTCTCCTTCTATCCTCCCTAGTCATTGTCCAACTCTCTGATGCATAACAAGTGACTGCAAAAACCATGGCCTGTATCAGGCACACCTTAGTCTCCAGAGAGACACCGTTACTCTTGATTACTTTAGAGAGGTCCCTAACCGCAGACTTTCCCATTACAATACGTTTTTTGATCCTGGCTACTGATGCCAAGAGTGTTGACTGTGGAGCCGAACAAACTGAAGCTGTGAACAATCTCAGTCTCTTCACCATCCATTCTGATGCTACCAATTGGTCCAGTAGTGAGAATTTTTGTCTTCTTGACATTGAGCCTCAGTCCATATTGAAAGCTGCAGTCCTTGACCCTCTGCAGTAAGTGCATGAGGTCCTTCTCAGTTTCAGCAAGCAGGGTTGTGTCATCTGCATAATGCAGATTGTTGATAGATCATCCACCAATCCTAACGCCATGCTTCTCCTCATAGAGCCCTGCCTCTCGGATAATCTGCTCTGCATACAGGTTGAAAAGGTATGGAAACAGGACACATCCCTGGCGTACAGCCTTCCCAATTTTGAACCATGCAGTGTTGCCCTGCTCTGTTCTGACTACTGCCTCTTGGTCCAAGTATAGGTTTCGTATTAGCACAATTAAATATTCTGGGATTCCCATTCTTCTCAGTGTCAACCACAGTTTGTTATGATCCACACAGTCAAATGCCTTTGCATAGTCAATGAAACACAGATAGACATTCTTCTGGTATTCTCTGCTTTCAGCTAAGATCCATCTAACATTAACTACAATATCCCTAGTACCACGACCTCTTCTAAACCCAGCCTGGACTTCTGGCAGTTCTCTGCTGATGTACTGTTCCAGTCGTTTTTGGATAATCTTCAGTAGAATAGAACACAATAAACACTGTGGGGGCAATGACATACTGCATGGAAAGTCATTAAGGGTGCAGTTCGTTGATGTTTGGATGTCAGGTGCAATTTCGTATAGATTTGTCTGAGTAGATGCTAATGAAAAGATAAATTACACCAAGATCTAATGAAGAACACAAGAGAGAATAAACATGGCAGTAAACCCTAGAAATTTCATTTCTATAAAGAACATGGTCTAAGAGACTATTAATACTGGAAATTCTGTGCTAGAAGCAAAGATACTGATATTACTTCAGTCTGCATTATTCCCTTATTCAACAAAATTACAGAGACACTAATATTATTTTTCATTAGTTTTAAGATACAGTTGGTCATGTTTTACTATCTCTGTCATTGGGAATCCTTTGACAGTCCAAAAAGTAGAGAGCTCTGGTGGCCTAGTGTTAAGAAACTGTGCTACAATCTCAAAGGCACACAGTTCAAGTCCACCTGCTGCTCTACACAAGAAGGATGGACAGTCTCCTCCCATGAGATTTACTGCCTCTGAAAACCCACCGAAAAGTCAGCTGTAGCTCAGATATGACTCAACAACAACAAAAAGCAATGGAAGCACACATATGAACAGTATTAGAACTTTCTTTTTTTGATCCATATATAGACAATTAATTCTTTTTATGTGTAGATAATATTCATAATTTTGAAACATATCAACTTACAATTTTAGACTGATGCATGATTCAGAACTCATTTTTGTGATGTATGCTCACCACTTCCATATTGTCATCACATTATGTGGAGAGAGGAACAGGCCCAGGGGAGGATTAAACCTCAGACCAGAGAACAAGACTTTTCATATTTTTTTAGGCCCTCAGCAAGGACAAGTTCATACTAGGAAAGGTGGAACATCAGTGAAAAAGGAAGACCCTCAACAAGAGGAAATGATACAGTAACTGTAACAATGGGTGTTACAGTATCAGAGTTTATAAGAATGGAGCATGAGAGGAGGGTGATCTGTTGTTCACAGAGTCACTATGAGTCATAATCAACTCAATGGCACTAACAACAACAGCATGCTTTAATAATTAAGGAAGTATCCTGGTAATTGAAAATGTCTTTATAAACCATCCAGTTTGCGTGGTAGCTATAAATTTATTGCTTGTAAATAAAATGTTTATTATACTCCATCTTAACATTTGACTCATAAAGACGTGTGTAAATACCAACCTCTTTAATATTTATAAATAGTTAAGATATGGTACATGTAATTGCAAACCATTGAGATATGAGACACTCATTAACTCAGTGGTCCTTTACCATGCAATGGTATGTATCATAATTCTGAATCCATTCCACCTGGTCAAATGTGCATAATTAACATTTAGGATTGCTATTGTATTGTTTATAGGGTCACTATAAATCAGAGTGATTAGATGGTACCTAATTACAACTGAAAAGGAAATTGGGATATTAGTCAGTCATAAATAATTTCCAGGCCAACAGATACTACGTTTGAAAGATTATTTCATGGAGATAGATACTTGCTAGTTTTATCTACTGGAAATGGCTTGTTTGTTATTTGCTGTTAGTTTCTTCAATGACACCTTTTTTCCCCCTACAAAACTATCCAGGTGTCTGTAGATGCTGCCCATGGATATAGTCCCCGAGCCATCGACATGAGCAATGTGACACTCTCCAGAGAGCTCCATGTAAGTGCTACTCACTTGTTAAGATATTATTCACATTTCCATTTTAAAAGACATACTATAGGAATAGGTAGGATTCGATGAGGACTTGAGGAAATGGAGAGATAAAAGTAATAGATCAGAAAAAGTGTTAGATTAATAATAATAATATAAAACACAATATACAGAAATTATTGTATAGAACAAAATGTACATGAAGTAAACAGTATGTATGAATTACTGAATAAAAGTGAATTATGATTTAAATAAACGAAGAAATTTTTTTAAACCCATTCTGTGAATAGCCTCTCCCTCTGTAGATTTTATAGTATACATGGGATGAAAGTACAGATCATGACATTTATAGATTTTTGCCCCTAACTTTTTAGTAATGTAAAACTTAATACAACTTTTCCTCCAAATAATGTATTCTCTTTAAAGAAAATAGCCATTTAAAAAAATGTTTTAAAGTTTATAATTAAATAGCTATATCAGCATCCCTCCGTCAATTTTCTGCACTGAGGTAATCTGGCTTTGCTATGATGCTGAACCTTGTGCCATTTGTGGGTCAGATGCCATAATGACTGCCCATCATGGACAGTGTTTGGTGGAGCTCCTAGTTTAAGACAGGTTTGGAAGCAGGAGTGGAACCCACTTCCTAAACCACATGCCTCTGGTAACTTTGGAGAAACGACGATAGTTATAGAAAGGCTTGTTGTTGTTGTTGTTTAATGCCGTTGAGTCGTAGACGACTCATAGCGACCCTATGAACGAACAGCCTGAGCACTGTTCGTACATAGAGTTTCCAGAGGCAAGCCATTTTGGAAGTGGATGCCGCTCCTGCTTCCAGATAGAAAGGCTTAGTTAGGCCTTTTGTTCATAGGATGGCTTTGAGTCGTGTTCGACTCAATGGCATTCATCATCATCAACAACAACAATATGTGAAAAGAATACATGTTTTATTAAGATATTCAGAGAGCACCTTATTCATCAAATAATAAATATTTTGTTATATATTAGAGATTTATGAGATTTTGTGTGCTTCAGTCAGTCTTATCTGTTCTTTGTTACTAAAGATCCTACTTGCAAAATGAAAGAAGTGTGAAAGACTTTTCTCTCTGTGAAAAAAGTGTATTTCCAGGAAATCCATTAACAAGTCTTTGTGGAAATACAAGCACAGGCCTATGTGGTGTACTCAAACCATGATACTGGCATTGCTAGTATCATCCCTGGAGAAATAAGGACGCAAATGTAAAATCTGTATTGCTAATTTCATATTGTTCTTATATTAAAATGACTTACTAACTTAAAACTTATAATTAAAAACCATCTTAAAGGTAATTTTATTAAAGCCCAGACATCACAGGGGGGAGGTTAAAGCGACTTATCCAAATTCACTTGTCTGATCTGAAATGGATCTAGAAGCTGAGTATTTGAAGTGCAGATTAATCTAGAAGCTGAGTATCTGACTCCCTTTGGAGCTCTGGTGGTCTTGTGGGTAGAGAGTTGCACTGCCAACCGAAAGACAGGTGGTTTGATTCCACCGCCTTCTCTAGGGCCACTCTCCTCCCATGCAGTACACAGCCTCTGAAAACCTGCTGGGGCGTCAGCTATGAGTTAATCCCACCTGGATAGCAATGCGTTTAAGGGATATTTTTGGTGGAAGCCTGGGTGTCACAGTGATTAAAGCACTCCTTGGGAACTAGAAGGTTGTTCTTTTGAACTAGCAGCCATACCATAGGGAGAAATGAAGCAATCCGTTCCCATAAAGATTATAACCTTGGAAGCCTTTATGAAGTAGCTATGTTCTATTTTGTTCTGTATGGTAACTCAATGGTGGTAGACTTTTGTGTGTTTGGCTTATAATGTTCTTTATATTTAACGGTGTAGTAGGTTTAAAACGGGAAGTTCTGGTAGCGTGATTTGTGGGAGATGTGCTACAGATCCAAAAGTGTCATCTCTCTAGAATACATCTCCTTTCATTTGATTTACAGCCTCAAAACACCCATTGGAGGGTCAATTGTGAGTCAATTTTCCTCCATAGTAATGATGACTTAGGTTTACATCAGCTTTTAAAGCTTTGGAAATGAAAAAGGGGGGGAAAGCAACTCATGAAGTAGATATTTCTTTCTAGAACAATTGTAACTATTCACTGGCTAGTTAATAAAATGAGTCTTTAAACATTACAAATAGCAATAAGTATTCCATGAGTGTTTACCTGCTGCTGTCCAGCTCATTCTGACTCATCACAGACCTAGAAGATAGTGGAAAGCTGTCCACAGGGTTCCAGGGGCTTTGATCTTTACTTGTGGTGTGCTGCACCTTTGTCCTCCACCATGCTGTGAGTTCAACCCACACCCCCTTCAAGTGTCAACTGAGCACATAACCACTGTGCCCTCGCGTTCCTTTCTGCCATTCACTACTGTGTCATTTGACTAATTATGAAAGTTCTCAAGGATTTATATGCTGAAATTAAACACTGTGCTTTTGTCAGTGTCTTACTTACTAAAATAACATTTAGTTGTTAAATATTTTATTCCTTTAAGGCTATGGCAGAAATGATGGCGGAGAACTACCATAATATATGGGCCAAGAAGAAGAAACTGGAGCTGGAATCCAAAGGTAATATTTTTTCAGCAACCTTTATTAGAATATCCAGAATTCATCTAAAAAATATAGAGTACAAATTTAAAAATAGTCACGTTAACACGAGTCCATTAAAACTTTAACAGAAGCAGAATGTGTAGAATTTCGATCTTTCAGAATTTCTGTGACTTTATTGCACATTTTCACATGTGAATGTGTTTTCTCCCTAGATCTCCAGTTAACTCTTTAGATGTCCTTAGCTAACATAAATATATCTCTTCACTCATCCCTTACTATATCCTAGCTCAGCCTCTAATTTTCTCCAGTCTAGTTACCCAACTTGTGGTAGCCCATATGGAGGTGCATTGCTGACATAAAGGCCTCTCTCTGGCGGTTCGTATCCAGCTGTGGCTCCGCAAGAGAAGGATGGCGGTCCTCTCTCATGAAATTTATAGCCTCAGAAAACCCACTGGAGGGTCCACTATCAGTTGGTTCTGATCAGCTTGACAGCAATCATGAGTGAAAATTACCTTACTATTTCTAACATACTTTTGCATGATTTTACCTCTTTTTATTTAAAATACAGAAATAACTCCATATTCTTTTAGTCATTTTTTAAAATCTTAACCTGTGTAAGTATTTTTCACTTGACTGCATCCGGCTTTGATTTTCTCCCCATTATTTGTTCAGCATTAGCATATACATGTATTGTTTATAAGATGTATGTGTTTGCTCTCTTTTTTACCTTTTGCTTCCTCTGAATTTGTTCAGTCACTTGGTTGAATGAAAACACAAACATTAAGTCTTTGTTCTACCCAGGGATTCAGTCTATCTCTTAATACCTTCTCAACTTGTTTTATGATACTAGAAGAGTTTGGGGGAACCAGACAGCAAAATATGAGGAGAGAGCTCTGCCTTCACGTCTACCTTACCTTCTCTTACTTGAAGTGTTTTGTACTGTAGTATTCAATCATAAAGCCACTAAGGTGCCAATGTCAAGCATCTCATCTACTAGGGAACTCATGAATTCATTTTAGAGCCAACACTGGCTGGTTTAAGGCAGCATCCTAGAGATGACTGGGTTCATTGGCTTCCCAAATTTCTCTCCTTTTTTCCACACGAGATCTATACTGATTTTAAAAATGGGAGGTATGAGAGTTGGAAGTGCGGTGTCTTTCCACAACCACACCACTAGTAAATAGGAGAGCAAACAGTTAAACCCCAGTCTACTGGCTGACTTCAGAAATCCCATGCTAAATCGGTGCAAGTCTAATATGGTGAGAAGCATTTCAGAGATGGAGAGAGCTCTGTGTTCTTAGGGATTTTTACATGATATTATTTGTTCTTTCTCTTCCTCTCCCTTCTGTTTTTATCCCCTTGTTTTTTTAGTCTCTGATTCCCAAATTATTATGAATTACAAATTAAGTAAAATTGATAACATTTCCTACAGCTAAGTGCAATAATGTAGCTCATAATGTTATTAAACAGATGATGCAGCCACCAGCCCTTTAGTCAAACACAGAGACAGGGTGCAATCTCTCCAGAGCTAATTTATCTTTCTTCATGAAGTTGGTGCTCTTACAGCCTTATATCTCCTTTCTCAGAATTTCATGGTTTTTCTGTTCAGGTGTGCAATTTATATCCCACCGAGTCATGGTGCCCCACATCCTGTATATGATCACCCCTTAATCCTTCAAACAATATTAACAGCCTCATTGAAACTATTCACTCAATGATAAATTATTTTCCCCCTTAAAGGTATAAAATCATAATCTTCTGGATTTTCTTATTTTGAATTGAGATTTAACAATACCTCATTATTTTTTTATATTTTTTGCAGTACTACCATTAACTAACTTGTGGAAGTACATACACAGAGAAAAAGTTAACCATTAGGACAAATGATTAAAGGGTTCAAAATAAAATACTGAAACTTATTGAGAGAAAGTTAATACTTGGTATTAATTGATTGAAAGATTCAAAACAAAATGCTAAAACTGAGAAACAGTTAATCATCAAGACTAGTTGATTAGAGGGCTCAAATAAAAACTAGAAGTTTTAAAAACTCTTTTCTTGTTCCCCACTGTTATTATGTCAGTCTTGTATCTGTAAGACCTAGTTCTTCTGCTGTTGTGGGTGGACTTACTGAGAAATAGATTCAGTGAAACCATGGGTAGCTCTCATGAAAGAGAGACAGCATGGAGTAATTTTTATACAGCAGCAGTGTATAATTTTTATATCAAGAAATAAGATTATTCCTGTCATGAAAGCTTGCAATCAGTTAAGGTTAAGACGCCATGAGAACCACCTTAGATGTTGATCCCAAAGAATTCTATCCTCTATTTTATATCTTGTACTACCATTTTGACTTCATATAGTGTCTAGCTTATAATGTTGGAGTTATGAGAGAGGTTAAAACATTTTGATTCTTCGTATTTGTCATTATGCCTTAGCAGTAGATAGTCAGTTGCAGTACTATTTTCCAGGACTGCTTCTTTTACTTGTCCTAGTCAGATGCATAAGCAGAGAGATGGCATGAAGGGCTTTTATAACTGTCCAGGCCAGTGTACTAATTTCCATATTTCGGGACATGTCCATAGCAGGCATTAAAAAGAGGAATAGGGTCATATATTCAGCTACACTGAACAGGTATAGATGGCTACAATAGTCAGGGGGAAAGGCTAGCTCTCAGGTAGCTCAGTGATGAGGTTTAGCAGTCAGGTCCTCTCTCTGGGCTAGGAACATGCTAAACCTTTCAAAGCCCTTTAGCAAGGAAGTAGGGGAAGTTCTTGGTTGCCTAAAGAAAGAAAAAAACACTCTGCTGGTAGTTTGCAGTGGGAGTGCTGTATTGGCTCACTTACACGTCAAGCTCTTTGTTTACACTCACACATAGAGATGACCTTCACAGGACTGGGGGAGAATATCCAAGCTTGTTATACAGCAGACTCCATCTTTCTAGCCACCATTGATGTAGCTCCAACTATAGTGACAGGATATTAGCACTCTTAGGGTGCTGAAGAACATTTTCTGGTCTTTTCATAGTGGATCTTCATAGGTGACATCAGTCAGTCATATCATCCTCATATTTAGAGGTCATATTCTTACCACTGGGCAATTGGCAGCACCATATTAGATGGAGAAGAGATTGAGGTTGTTAGCAATTACAGCTTGTTCAGATCCAAAATCAACACTCTTAATACCAGCAGTCGGGAAATCAAAAGACAAATTGCATTGGAAAAATCTGCTGTCATGGACCCCTCCAGAGTGCTGAAGAGCATCAGTGTCAGTCTAGATACAAAGATGTGCCTATTCAAGGCCACAGTCTTCTCAATTACTTGTTAAGCTTCAGAAAGTTGGACAGTGACTAAGGATGACAGAATAGATGTCTTCGAGTTGTGGTGCTGGAGAAGAGTTTTGAACATACTATGAACTGCCAAGAAAACAAATAGGTCTGTTTTGGAGAGGGTAAAACCACGTCTCTCCTTGGAGACTGGGATTTTGAAGCTCCACCTCACTTACTTTGGGCAGGTGGGTAGGAGAGATCGGTCCTTGGAGAAGGACATCATACTCAGAAGCATGGATGGACAGCGCAGGAGAGGAAACCCCAGATGAGATGGATTGATATAGTGGCTGGGTGTTGGCGTGTCGTAATTAGTGAGACTGGCTCAGGACAGGGAAGGGTTCAGAGCTGCTGTACATCACTATAAATTGTAGGTGACTCAATGGCTCATGACAACAATAACGTACTATGACAGATTTGGAAGCAAGAGTGGCACCCACTTCCTAAATAACATGTCTCTGGAAACTCTATGAACTTTGATAAATGTCGATAATTACAGAGGGGCTTCAGGCCTTTTGTTGGTATGAGTTGTGCTCGACTCTAAGGCAATCAACAACAACATTCCATTTTGGAGCTGTGCTATGGCAGTACTAACCCAGACAAGGCAGGAAGTAAAGATTTGCTTAACATATGTCCCCTTTTCAGACAGAAATTAGACACGTGAATTACTTTTTGCCAGGTATACTCAGATATTCTCATTTCGGTTAAAGGAAGTCAACTGTAAGTGTCCAATATATGGTAAGAGAAATAAAATTAACCCCACCTTAGTCAGATTGAGATCAGAGGAAGAGTCTCCAATTGTCCGTTGGGGTATTTCTTGACTCAAATTTGATGAGTCTAGCTCTTGAGGCTCCCAAGTTTGAGAGCTGTAGGGGTGGTTTAGTAGAACCTTTAAAGGTTTGGTCCATTTCTGTTCTAACTGGGAATCAGATCTCTTTCTTCAAATCCTAAATTGGAGGTTATCACTAAGCTGCTAGAGTGTAGGTCATGTGTAAAGGAGGAAGCCAACCTGGAAAGGGCAAATTTGTGAGTAATAGAAAGTGCTTGAGGGAGGTGTACATACCACTGCACCTTCACATCCTGGTTAAGGGTAGGCAGAAGATTGAAGTAAGTTTCCTGGAAATATCTAAAGCATGTAATTCATATCAGCCCGATGTAGACATGCTTCTGGGGGATACCTACATTCAGAACAGGTGTAATAGCAACCCCTAATCCCAGTGGAGATGCAGTTTTTGACATAGTTTGCCATTTGTTTGTTTGTTTTTTCTTTAATAAATTTTTTAAAATTTTATACTGGTTTACTTACAAAGCTTGTATACATTGTTTTTCACACCAGATCTTTCCTATTTCCTTTACCCACCCCTCCTTTTACACATCAAATTGTGCGACCCTATGATTACCCCCTACCCATCTTCACTTTTCTGATTCTCCTTTTCCCTCCATGGATCCTCTTACACATTTTACTAGTTATCTTTTTAGTTCTACAATATTGGTCTCACATAGTATTTGTCCTTATGGGACTGAGTTAGTTACTTAGCATAACACTCTGCAGATCCTCCCAATTTAGGCAGTTGTTGTTGTTGTTATGTGCCGTCGAGTCACTTGCGACTCATAGAGACCCTATGTACAACAGCCCTAAACTCTGCTCTGTCCTGTGCCAATCGCACTGTTTCTGACACTCCCATCCCAATTATCC